GAAAACAAAATGTCAGTGGTCTGACTGGCTGAATGCTGACAGACCTAACAGCAGTTTATCAGATTTGGGGGATCTGGAGACGGTAGAAGTCCTCAAACGTACATTTCCTATCTGTCCTGACATTCGAGACATTCAATGCAGGGTTGTAGGATCAGCAACTTCTGCTCTGGATGCTGGTCAGACAGGGGTCAAATGTGACGTATTCAATGGCCTTCGATGCTACAACAGGGACACAGCCAATGGCATATGCTGTGATTATGAAGTAAGATTGTGCTGGGATGCTGATTCTTGTCAAGGTAAAATTATTTGAATTGATATTTAAACATCTTCATTTCTATGAGTATATTTTAGCTTTTTCTTATACAGTTCATTAACACTGGCCTGTTCTGATTTATCCCTGACAGCAGCTTCCTGCACTGTGTTTCTGATCACAAATTGCTTGATCCCTCTTTCCTTTAGTGCACATCTGGCATAGTTTGTTTAGTGCACTTATTTTCCCTGGCCTGCGCCTGTTACTTTGTTATTTCTGTCCTTCAAAGTGAAAATGGCAGACTAAGAATCTCATGATTACGAAGTCACCTGCTGTTTTATGTAGGTGGGTTGGGAGTCTAAAATTATTGTTGATATGGAATGGGTCGCATCTATCTAGAGATCGCAGGGGGTGAGAGCCACAAAGATCTTTTGTCCGGGCCATGCAGATGTGTTTAGGTATGAGCATGCGGATCGGTTAACTAGGCTTACCCCACGGAGAGGAGTGGGAAGTACTTTGACTGCATAAGGCAGAAGTGATTTCTCGCCAGTGGGAGAGGTAACAAGTAAAATGAAAGATACTCAAACAAAAAAACGTACCGGAAGAGAATGATGCAGCGGGGAGTGTCTGTGGACTGTGGTTGCCACTTGAGACTTGGGGGAAAGGCAAGACGAGTAACTCACCGGATGATAACAGGTACCATAAGTATGGAGACTCTTCACTGGCTGTTGAGGAGGGAGACAGAGCTAATGTGAGCTTGTCCTGAATGTTGTGATGTTGAATCTTTGCTTAGATGATCCAGATATATGAAATTGAACCCCACTAGGATTATATAACAAGTTAGATGCGTATCCTTCCGGAGAAGCTTTAAAATAATGTAAATTTGCGCCCATACTGGGACGAGTGTCTTTGCACAAAAATGTATCACTGAATGAATGACTGAGATTCAACCCCACCAGGACATCCACCAAGTGATAAACAGCAGGTGACCCAAATTGCCACCATGCTGATAAGGATCACCCGTGGAGAGGTCACAGAAACCTAGTTCAATCGTTAGTTTATATTAGCCTGACTACAGCCTGGGTGAGGCTTTATCATTAGTAAGTACGTAAATTTTACTCCACTAGGACATCACACAGAGCGATAAACATAACATTTGGTGACAGAAAGTGCCATCATGTGGATGAATGAATGAATGAATGAATTTCTACCCCACCAGGACATCACACAAGCGATAAACACCCAATGACACAAAGTGCCACCATGCGGATGAGGATCACCGTGGAAAGGTCCCAGAAACCGCGTTCAGACAATTGGCCATATTTATGGCCTGCCTATATTGCGGCCCCTGGCAAAAGCCAGAGTGGGGCTTCAAATAACAAAAAATTACGTCCTAAAAAGGACGTAACAATATACCAGTATCATGTGGATGAGGATCACCCATGGAGGGGGCCCAGAAACCGCGTGGATATAATTTCCTAATCCACAGTTTCTATTAAGTTCAGACATATTGGGAGCCTCAGCTTGTTGTCTAAGGCTTGACGCTTGGCTTAATTGTTTTTGTGTTTATAATAGCCTATGAATTGTTTTCTTGTTCTTTGGTGGCTTTTAAATGTTTAGTTTTTTTCTAAAGCTTCAGGTTTAACAACAACAACAACAAAAAATGAAATGTTATCTCCCTTAATAAAATTACTCCAGCATTTGCTTGTTATTTTAGACTTTACAACAAAGACGGAAACATCAACAGAAACAACAGTGACAACACCTTTCTACAAAACTTATAGTAAGTACATTGTAACTTGCTCGAGCGACTTCATTTTTTATGTTATCTTAATTGTTTTGTTTAATCTCATTTCTGCTTTCCCTTCCATTTAGAAAAGCTGCCGTTTAAAAATGTTCGTAATGAGTATGCATCAATCCAGTTATTTAATTGAATTCTTGATCTACAAGATCAGAGCACAGTTGTTTTTAAAATTAAATAAAAAATAAGTTGAGTTGAGTCAAGAATTGACATCGCAGCGCTCGGGGTATTCCCATGTGTGCTCTGTCCACATCTTCAGCAGCCCGTGCAGAGTTCCAATACTGATGGTACTGGTCACAATCTGGTTATATGTCTGTCTTGCATTTCCTCTGAGTGTAGTGAGCCGGCCAGACGCTATGGTTACACCCAGGTGCCTCATTCTCTCCAGCCCATAATAATCTTGTTTCTCTACTGATTCCGTTGCTTGTTCCTAAAGGACTTTACCACATCTTCCTTGTCATGTATCATCTCACCACCCAGTGGTGCAGATCCAGCCAATCTGCCTAAATCAAAACTAAATGATTAGTAACAATTCAAATGGATGAAAAATCACATAATCTTTCCTACAGGTACAGTGGTCTGTCCACCAGGTGCGGAATGGGATCCCTGCGCGTACAAATGTAACGAAGTGTGTCACTTTATGGGGCATGCAGCAGGAGCCTGCTCAGAGCCCTCACTGCAAGAGTGTGTTCCTGGCTGCAGATCTGCTTCACCAAAGTGTTCCAAGAATCAGAGACTTTTGGACCAGAATTCATGTGTTGGTACAGTAGCCTGCACATGCTTGAAGCCTGATGGAACTGCTGCAATGGTAATCTTTATTTCTGTTTAGTTCTGTACTTTTCTTCTTCTCCTCCTCTCCTTCTTTTTCTTCTTCTTCTTTCTCTTCTTCTTCTTCTTTGCATTCACCATTTGTAAACTCCTGAAAGTTCTGGCTGTTCATCGTCTTCTGGACTTTAATTTTATTTGAGAAGTTGAGTTTGGCAATCACATCCATTTTGCAGATCTGACTTGTTTCTATGCAGATTGTTGGTTCCTCACCTCTCAGGCAAACTCACTGACTTAAAAAGAAACACCCCTAATGAGTCTACTTTTACTAGCAGTGGGTCTGTTCTTTATTTACTCTACACTGGGGCTCTGAAACCCACACTGGGATGATCTATGCTATGTCTCTAGTTTTGCTGTTTGTAAGTTAGGTACTGTAGTAAGCTTGAGGCAGTTGCATGTTAACATATTGTGGTGTGGCCAGAAACACCATGCTGGCTGTCAATGTTTCCTGTGTGTTCTCTATTTAGGCTGTCTCTTGTTGGCTTATGTATTTTATTGATCTGTGATTGTCTTTTTTTATTTCATTATAATTATCTTTTCCTCCTGTCGTTATTTTTTCTCTTGATGTCCTGTAAATATGGATAAAAAAAAGAGCAGGACAGAAAAAAAATGATTTTGAAAAGTTTATCTGAATCCTTAATTGACTAGATCTCTGTTGTGATTTTACAGTTTAACCATTTCTTGAAACGGTTGTTATCAGTGATAACATTCTCCTACAGATAATTAGTCAGGGATTGTAAATATGTAAATGAATTACTACTATACCCAATATTTAGAAGATTTTTTATAGTAGGTATTGAAAATTCTAACGATAATCAGTTTTAGAAATAGTTTTTCAACTTGATTATATATTCTGGATAGTGTCAGTGAATATTGTTTGTTTACCTGTTAGTGACAGAAACAAAATTATTGTTAATACTCTCGGAGATGGGAGCCGCGGTGGTCTAGTGGCTAGACGCTCGGCTGGGGATCAGAAGGTTGTGGTTTTGGGTCCTGACAGGGGTCACACTTTTGTCAAAAATGACCTTGATTTCCAGGTCGACCCAGTCTTGATGCTGACCACATCACCCACCAAGTGCTGTTTGGTCTTTAAAATATAGGTCTAGCGCTATATACCCAGTCCACCTGAAGGCAAGGAGAAGGGTCCTCCACCTTTACTTACTCTCAGAGATGTTTCTATTATTTATGAAGTAACTATGTATATTTTTCTTCAGCCCTTTGAAAGTTGGACAGATTCAACCAGTTCATGTTCCAGATGCTATTGTTTCAACAATGAAGTAGTGTGTGTCCATGAATGCATTAGTGGAGAAACTACTGCATTCACAACTGAAAATGTATCTACTGTGGGAAAAACTAATGAAATGCATACTACAGGAACAACTGAAATAACTCAGACTGCAGGGACAGCTAAGCAGACAAAGATTGTGCAAACAACTGAATCAACACAGACTGTTGCAACTAATACTGTCAAGATAACTGAAACAACACAGACTCCAGGGACACGTAAAGAAACAAAAGCTGTAGGGACAACTGAACCAACACAGACTGTAGAGACTACTGGAGCCACACAGACTTCAGAGACCACTGAAACAACACAGACTTCAGGGACAGGTAAACAAACAAAAGCTGTAGGGACAACTGAACCAACACAGACTTCAGAGACAACTAAACCAACACAGACTGTAGAGATGACTGGAGCCACACAGACTTCAGAGACAACTGAACCAACACAGACTCCAGAGACCACTGAAGCAACACAGACTCCAGGGACACGTAAACAAACAAAAGCTGTAGGGACAACTGAACCAACACAGACTGTAGAGACTACTGGAGCCACACAGACTTCAGAGACCACTGAAACAACACAGACTTCAGGGACAGGTAAACAAACAAAAGCTGTAGGGACAACTGAACCAACGCAGACTTCAGAGACAACTAAACCAACACAGACTGTAATGACTACTGGAGCCACACAGACTTCAGAGACAACTGAACCAACACAGACTTCAGGGACAGGTAAACAAACCAAAGCTGTAGGGACAACTGAACCAACACAGACTGTAGAGACTACTGGAGCAACACAGACTCCAGAGACCACTGAAACAACACAGACTTCAGGAACAGGTAAACAAACCAAAGCTGTAGGGACAACTGAACCAACACAGACTGTAGAGACTACTGGGGTAACACAGACTTCAGAGACAACTGAACCAACACAGACTGTAGAGAATACTAAAGCCACAAAGACTTCAGGGACAACTGAAGCAACACAGACTTCAGGAACAGGTAAACAAACAAAAGTTGTAAGGACAACTGAACCAACAGAGACGTCAGGGAAAACTGAAGCAACACAGACTTCAGGGATTACTGGAGCAACACAGACTGTGGAGACTACTGGAACAACACAGACTACAGGGACCACTGAAGCAACACAGACTTCAAGAACAAGTGACACAACTAAATTTCCTACTACAAAGACAACACCAACTAGCAGATGTCATTCTTGGAGTTCATGGGTCAATGATGATAAACCAAGCACAGGTGGGTTTCAAATCGTATACTCTGCCTCACTTATTCAGACTTATCATGATTCTACTAAAAAATGGCTTACTTTTAATTACTAAATCTTCTGTACTTCTGTATGCAGTGTATCTACCCTGTGCCACTGATTCATTAAATTCTCACTTCACTGAAGAAAAAAATGTAACACTGCTTTGTCTTTTCCGTCACCTGAGCTTGGCATTTTATTTTTAAAAAGAAATATTTAAGACATTTTGTTGACTAAATGTGAGACATTTTGTTGACTAAGATTACCAAAATAAATATATTTACATCTAGCTGCTTCTTCTGCTTTTTAACTCCAGTGAAGCACAGACCTTCAGCCAACTAAATCCAAGTCATCCTGTTATTAGCATCTCATGCAAGTCACCATTGTACTTCTATTTTTCATATTAAAAACAAAAATAATTTTCAGTTCCATGTATGCCTTCTCGCATTATCAGTTTTGTCAATACAGAAAGGTTAGTAACCCAGTACCCCAGAGGACCATACCAGCAGCGTTGTAAGCTGCAGACTGCTTCTTTAACTTCAGGCAGAAATAAGGATCACCTTTCTTTTTTAGTAACCCCAATGTCACAGACCAGTCAAATAATTTTGAGGGTGGAAAGATAGGGCTTTTTTAAGTGCATTGCCAAGTCTTCTTTGGCAGGCTTCGCGCCTCTTATGACGTGTGTTTGCCGTGTCTTGACGTCTTCTTCATCACTTTGTTTGCATCACGTTTTGTTCCAGTCTCCAAATTCATTGCCATGAATTTCTTAACAAGCAGACCAGCATTGCCTTCCTGCAACAGCATGGTATTCTGTACAGCACAAGACGTCCACCTGTTGTCTGGACATACCACTACGGCAAGGGATATGGCTGGAAGAGTTGCAGCTACCGTACAGAAAGATCATTCTGTTTATATACTGCTGGTCTCACGAGTTGACAAGCATTCAATTTTGACAAGTAGAAATGAGCATGTTGCCGAATACAACTGTGGAATGGTGCTACTACTTACGGGAGGTTTGTGCCAATACATTATTGTTGAATCCTGCAGTGGTCGGCAGAGAGAACACCACTGTTGAAATTGATGAAAGTCTGTTTACAAGACGAAAAAACCATGTGGGACATGTGTTTCCACAACAGTGGGTATTCTGTGGAGTCTTTTGCGAGACAGGCAAATGCTTTATGTTCTGCATTCCAGACAGAAAAGCAGAGACGCTTCTGCCGATCATTAGCACAAACATCAGACCTGGCATGACAGTAGTGTCCGACATGTGGCGTGCGTACAATGGAATTGAGAATATTCCTGGATTGACACATCTTACCATCAATCACCATCAATTTTGTGACTCCACCACAGGTGCACATACACAATGCATCGAACGTATGCGGAGGTCGGCAAAAGAGAGAAACAAGCGCAAGAATGGGACCCACAGACATTTATTAGTCTGAAATTGCTGTGATTGTTAGTTCATGATTGGCCCTTTTTATGGCCACCATAGTACCCCAACTGGCAATTTCTGCGTCTGCACATACAGTTTCTCTGATTGCACATAGTTTCACACACATACAAACATATTGCTAATCATAATTATTTTATACCCGTGTTATTACTCTTCCTTTTTTTTCTCCAAATAATTAATCCTTGGGCTAAAGCTTAGAATTTACATTTAAAAAAAAAAGGTCATGTAGGGGATGAATACAGCACCTTTCGATCATAAGGCAGATGTGATACCAACTACTCTAGACATTCACATGACAAAATGATCTGAAAACATGACCAGTATTGTACATCAACAGACAGAACATAGCAGCCGATTATGCACCAACAGACAGAAATATCACCAACAAACAATAAGACCAAACAACAGCACTATTGCACCCATTGAAATAGTCGACTGTCCAGTCAGCTGTTGATTTCCCCTGGATTCCCCATGTTTGGGGTAACTAAAAAAATAAAGCACCATATAATCTTGCTATGGTGATTGTAAACTAGGTTCAGTCCAAGGCAAGGAAGGCGAACTTGACATAAATGTATATAGGGATGAAGGCAATAAGCTACACATCTGATGAAAAGTAATTATCTGTATAGAGATGAAGGCAATAGGCCACACATCTGATAAAAAGTAATTATCTGTATAGAGATGAAAGCAATGGGCCACACATCTGATAAAAAGTAATTATCTGTATAGAGATGAAAGCAATAGGCCACACATCTGATAGAAAGTAACAATCTATATAGAGATGAAGTCAATAGACCACACATCTGATGAAAAGTAGTTATCTATATAGAGATGAAGGCAATAGACCACACATCTGATGAAAAGTAATTATCTATATAGAGATGAAGGCAATGGCCACACATACTATGAAAAGTAATTATCTATATAGAGATAAAGGCAAAAGGCAACACATCTGATGACAAGTAATTATCTATATACAGATGAAGGCAATGGTCACACATCCTATGAAAAGTAATTATCTATATAGAGATAAAGGCAAAAGGCAACACATCTGATGAAAAGTAGTTATCTATATAGAGATGAAGGCAATAGACCACACATCTGATGAAAAGTAATTATCTATATAGAGATGAAGGCAATGGCCACACATACTATGAAAAGTAATTATCTATATAGAGATAAAGGCAAAAGGCAACACATCTGATGACAAGTAATTATCTATATACAGATGAAGGCAATGGCCTTACATCCTATGAAAAGTAATTATCTATATAGAGATAAAGGCAAAAGGCAACACATCTGATGATAAGTAATTATCTATATGCAGATGAAGGCAATGGCCACACATACTATGAAAAGTAATTATCTGTACAGAGATAAAGGCAAAAGGCAACACATCTGATTACAAGTAGTTATCTATATACAGATGAAGGCAATGGCCACACATCTGATGAAAAGTAATTATCTATATAGAGATGAAGGCAATAGGCCACACATCAGATGAAAAGTAATTATCTATATAGAGATAAAGGCAATAGGTCACACATCTGATGAAAAGTAATTATCTATATACAGATGAAGGCAATGGCCACACATACTATGAAAAGTAATTATCTGTACTGAGATAAAGGCAAAAGGCAACACATCTGATTACAAGTAGTTATCTATATAGAGATGGAGGCAATGGCCTTACATCCTATGAAAAGTAATTATCTATATAGAGATAAAGGCAAAAGGCAACACATCTGATTACAAGTAGTTATCTATATACAGATGAAGGCAATGGCCACACATCTGATGAAAAGTAATTATCTATATAGAGATGAAGGCAATAGGCCACACATCTGATTACAAGTAGTTATCTATATACAGATGAAGGCAATGGCCACACATCTGATGAAAAATAATTATCTATATAGAGATGAAGGCAATGGTCACACATCTGATGAAAAATAATTATCTATATAGAGATGAAGGCAATAGGCCACACATCTGATGAAAAATAATTATCTATATAGAGATGAAGGCAATGGCCACACATCTGATGAAAAATAATTATCTATATAGAGATGAAGGCAATGGTCACACATCTGATGAAAAGTAATTATCTATATAGAGATGAAGGCAATGGTCACACATCTGATGAAAAGTAATTATCTATATAGAGATAAAGGCAATAGGCCACACATCTGATGAAAAATAATTATCTATATAGAGATGAAGGCAATGGTCACACATCTGATGAAAAATAATGTCCTGGATGATGAATTCAATGGATTTGGACAGAGCAAATGACCTGGACTTTGTTGGTAATATTTCCCTCCTGCTCCACTCATTAAACCAAATACAAGAATTAAACACACCTATAAGAGGTCAGAACAGTTAGAACTGATTGATTCTTGATTTAAGACATGGCAACTATATTAGGCATATCCATAGCTGTCTCCAAAGGAAATGTGCTTTATTTAGATCTCTCCTTTCCATCTCCAAGCTCAAAAACCATTTGGGTGTGCAAGACCGGTATAGGAACTTCACATGTTACCTGATGATACTTTGGCACATCACTCTCGGACCAACAGGATGATAATGTTTTCTCCATAAGTTTATGTGTTTCACTGTCAGCAGACTCCAGCACAGTTCCTAGAAGGAAGTCTCTTGGTATTGAAAAAATCAAGCCTCAGGAAAAGAGCCTTTTGAAACATTTTTTGTTTTGTTTTGTGATTATTATTTATTTGAATAATGAGAACACAACTGCACATTTTATTGTCTTGCTTATTTATAACTTCAGATTTCACATCATTTCAGCTGAAATACACAGATCACAATATTTTACATCATTTCAGCTGAAACACACAAATCACAATATTTTACATCATTTCAGCTGAAATACACAAATCACGATATTTTTCATCCTTTGAGCTGAAATTCACAAATCACAATATCTCTTGTAAAACTGTTTCAAGCAGTAAATTGTGCAGTTTATTGATTGTGTCATCATCATTTAACTTCATAATGTAAAACTGTGTTTTGATTTTGGACTGTTAACGTTTTTTTAAAATGGTTTATTTTTTCAACAGGTAGCGGAGACAGTGAGCTCATCTCAGTTTTACACAGTAAATACAGTCTGTGTGTTGCTCCCAGTGCTGTGGAGTGCAGGGTTGCAAACACACATCAAGATGTTCGTGTGTCTGGTCAGCGTGTGTCATGCTCACAGAAAGAGGGGCTTCGATGTCTTAATGCAGACAATGGGGGCAAATGCAAAGATTATGAAATTAGAGTCTTTTGCTCTTGTTCAGGTGAGTTGCTCACATGTTTACTCCATCATCATCATCATCTTCACCATCATAATTTTATTTCTGTGTGTCACAAAACTGTAACACTTTATATTATTTATTTTTTCCATTTCAAATCAAGGGACAGAAACACTGAGTATTCCAGGTTCCAGTACAAAAACTGTAATGTTAAGAACACCAATTTTCCCTGTTGATGTCACTGTGACATATTTTCTTTTTTTTTCTTCACATCCATGAATGATCTACATTGTGTTTGTTGAATGGAATAATAAAAACTATTGTTCTTCAGGCTAATTGCTGGATAAGGCCTTAGTAAAACTGTAACATAGAACATAATCTTCAGGAAACATATAATACATCAATACTATTACCAGAGTCTTACTTTCGCCAAAGGACTGTAAGTAGAAACACTTGTGTGAGGCTGAAATTATAACTGAAAATATTAAAAGTTAAATAACAATATGTTTATACTGTCTTTTATCAGTATTAAAAATAGATTGCAACCAAAATTATTTGACTAGCATGCCTTCAAATTGTCCAGTACTGCCAGAGTATAGCACACAGTGTAATGCATTTAAAGTATTGGTATGTTTATAGCATCTGTAAAATTAGATGAGAGCAAGGGAATTGCAAAAACAAGGTGGAGATATACAAATTTCTTCTTCTTCTCCTTCTTAGTGTTCACCAGCTGTAAACTCCGACATAAAGTTCTGGTTGTTCTTCGACTACAGAACTATCCAAACTGGAGACTTATATGCACATCTGTTTTACGGATCTGGTTTATTTGTATGCAGACTGTTGGTTCTTCACCTGTCAGACAGATGTGCTCCAGCTTAAATGGAAACATCCCTAATTAGTCACCTTTTACAACATGCTTGTTAAGGGCAATGGGTCTATTATTTTTTCCATAAATTGGGACCCCAGAAACCACACAGGAAAACACAATTATAACCAAACAGTTTCAGCTCTGTACAAAAGTTTCATTTATTGAATGTTGAATTAAGAATCAACATCATAGCACTCAGGACACTCACATAAGTGTTCTGTCCTCATCTTCAGCAGCAAGCTAACAGTTTCAGTTCCGATGGCACCAGTAAGTGTCTGATTGTATATCTGTCTCACCCCTCCCCTGAGTGTTGAGCGTCGGCCAGATTCCCTGGTAACTTCTCACAGCACCATTCTCCTCAGACCGTAATGATCTATATGCGCCTCCGCACTGTTCACTAACTCCCAAAGGTCCCTCACAACATCTAGCTTTTCATACATCAGTTTCACCACTAAATGGTGGAGAACTGGTCAGTCTATCTGCCTGCTCATTTCCCAACACACCGGCATGCCTATAGAAAATATCCAAAGGAGGCTAACTACCTGGGACCTCTGAATTTATGCTTGCCATTTTGCATGGAACATGTCTATTTTCACCTTTCTCAGAAAGCTCTGTGAGTCATTTATAATCACAGCATGTGTGTACAGCTGATTCTCAAGCCAGCGGAAGGCAGCAGTTTCCTAAAGTAATTTTGTCTTCTCAATGATGTCTAACACTAGGCAAAACATCTGTCTGGTGCACCATATTCCACTGGAATATATTTGAACAAAGAAGTCGCCAACAACAGACAGAATTGTTATACTTCATATGTATCTGTGTTCGATATATATTTATATATACACACACACATACACACACACATAGTAGCCTACCGGTTAAATCCTTCAACTAACCTTTGCTGAAAGAAGGCATCATGTCATCTAACTCTGTCTTTTACTTAATTATGGTAATCTAATTAGGTTGCATTTTGCTGTTCCTTTGAATTTGCTGCTCACCATGACAGATAAGGCCTGGAAAGAGAAGATGTTGAATTTTTGAAATCTGTGACTCTTTATATTGAGCTCAGGTCAATTGGAAATTTCACCTAATTCAAATCCCTTATTCCGCACAATACTTATTCCTTTTGAACCATGGGAAGTGTGCAGAGCAGAGTCTACTTTTCTAGATCTTTTGTGTTCAGCGTAGATATTCACTTCAGTTAAAGAGATTGCACAGGATAGAACATAATAGGAATAGACTGTGAACCCTATATGTCATATAATGGTACAATCGGATAATGTGATGATAGATGTTCACACCCTCAGTTAGTGTGTGAACGGGATAATGTGATGATAGATGTTCACACCCTCAGTTAGTGTGTGAGTGGGATAATGTGATGATAGATGTTCACACCCTCAGTTAGTGTGTGAGTGGGATAATGTGATGATAGATGTTCACACCCTCAGTTAGTGTTTGAGCGGAATAATGTGATGATACATGTTCACGCCCTCAGTTAGTGTGTGAGCAGGATAATGTGATGATAGATGTTCACACCCTCAGTTAGTGTGTGAACAGGATAATGTGATGATAAATGTTCACACCCTCAGTTAGTGTGTGAATGGGATAATGTGATGATAGATGTTCACACCCTCATTTAGTGTATGAACAGGATAATGGGATGATAAATGTTCATACCCTCAGTTAGTGTGTGAACGGGATAATGTGATGATAAATGTTCACACCCTTAGTTAGTGTGTGAATGGGATAATGTGATGATAGATGTTCACACGCTCAGTTAGTGTGTGAACGGGATAATGTGATGATAAATGTTCACACCCTCAGTTAGTGTGTGAGCGGGATAATCTGATGATACATGTTCACGCCCTCATTTAGTGTGTGAACAAGATAATGGGATGATAGATGTTCACACCCTCAGTTAGTGTGTGAGCGGGATAATGTGATGATAAATGTTCACACCCTCAGTTAGTGTGTGAACGGGAAAATGTGATGATAGATGTTCACACCCTCATTTAGTGTGTGAATGGGATAATGGGATGATAGATGTTCACACGCTCAGTTAGTGTGTGAACGGGATAATGTGATGATAAATGTTCACACCCTCAGTTAGTGTGTGAGCGGGATAATCTGATGATAAATGTTCACCCCCTCAGTTAGTGTGCCACCTTGTTGATGTATCATATGGTAAGCAAATATGTGATGAAAGAAGAAGCTGACACCAGTGGTTCTGTCTGTCTTGAGAAACAACTAGTTAAAGTGAGAACAATGCAGAATCTCTTTCAGAAGCCATCCACTAGCTTCCATCTGTAAGACATCATAGCCTATACACTGTTGGTTTGCTCTTTTATGGACAGGAATACAAACTATTTTGATTAATGGCACCTCACCAACTTTCCAGACAATTGTGGTCCATTGATCTGTAAGCCCACAGAGATAGTGAGGCTAGCAAGACCAGCTTGTATTAAGAAGAATCTTTCACAATAAGTTCAGGACCATTACTGACATCACATTTATATGACATTTTGCTCAGCATGTAACCTGTTTACAGTCCTTTTCTTTTCTTCTTCTGTGTGGTATTGGTAGTCATGTGTATCCATAACCTTTTGTCTTGTGTACTTTTATTCATCTCTGACACAGATAATCCTCCATGCCATGATGTCAGACTGTCAAGCATCTATTTTCTCGGTCTCCCCTTGCCTCTCCTCCCCTGCAACATTCCTACTGTCATGATGTACTCCACTTTTCACCTTCTCATCACTAAAGAATGTAGATTGTCTCTTTCTGATGTGGGCAATCCTTCCTAACTGTCCCCTCTATACAATGCAGTCCATGTCATTCTGTTCCAATGGATCTACCTCAAAACTAGTATCATTCATGTCCCACTAACACACATCTTTAAATCACAGTAGAGGCAGCCCCAATATCCTAAGTGCAACTGTAATTCGCATAGAGAAAGTCTTTCATATGTGGGTGTAAACTAGCTTTCTGAGCCTTGGAAGACTGAGGATTGGGGAAACTGTGTGTGCATGTTGATGATACATCATTACAGTTAGTACAACCAAATAGTTTCTTCTTTTTCTTCTTCTTCAGCATTCCGAGCCCTTGAGGTTCATTACTGCAGATACCACCTACCTCCATTCATTTCTCTGGTAGTCTGGTAGTCTGGTAGTCTTAGTTTCAGCTTCATAGCAAACGGGTCGCCCCATCTTTGCTCCGCTCCTGTGCCAGCGAAAAACACCCAGAATGTTTATCACAGTCCCTTGTGGAAAGATTGACAGACTGCTGTCTCAGCATATCTAGCATACACTCGCATTAACGCATATGGTAGCCATCCGAAGTGCTAACACAAACAGTCCAACATTAGAAATGTAGTTCATCGTTGATGATAGCAGAACTCGTCGTCAACAGATCAGCAGTTGCCCGGGCGATCAATTTTAATACGGGTCCCGCCAGCATTGCACGACCGGCATCGCGCCATTTTCTGAATCTACAATTCACACCACGTTGGTCACAGTCGAAAAAAAACATTCAAAATGCAATCCGCAGCTCACAGGGTCACGCCATGCATTCAACTCAGAAGCTGGGCGACGAAACTATATCCAGTCTACAAATGGAGCAAAAATACTTCGGCCACCGTCCGGCAGAAGCAAAAAATTTGCCTCCGCTCCGAACAGCGCCGCTGTCTAGCGTCCATTTTAACCGGAAGTTCCCCTCGTCATTTCTCTGGTTGGCCTTCTCTTTCCAGTTGGTGACACCAAGTGTTTGCAGGTCTGTCTGGACATTATCTCTTCATCGTCTTCTTGGTCTGCCTCGGGGCCTACAACCATTCATCTCCCTTGTGTATACAGTTTTCACTTCTCTGTCATCTGATGTTCTCTCAGTTTGCCCCAACCATTTCAGTTTATAACTTTATTATAATGCCAGTTATCAATGGGGATTTAAACAGATTATGAATTTCGTTGTTGCTTCTCACTCTCCGTTCCCCGCTGGTTGCATCTTTTATGGGTCCAAAGATTCGTCATAAGACTGTTTTTGAAAAACCTGTAATAAGGCTTCATCTCTTTTAGTTGTGCTCCAAATTTCAGAGCCATATAAAAAAAACTGGTCTTATCAACGTTATATATATTTTGATCTTAGTTTTGCGAGACAGAAACTTTGAGGTTATCAGATGTTGAAAGGCATAGTTTACTTTATTTCCAGATTGTATTCTAGATTGTATTTATTCTATCAGCATGTTGGAGCAGTTGAAGTTTGCACCTAAGTATTTATATTTTTCCGTTCGTTTGATTTTCATATTATCAACTTGTATGTGGAACCAAATAGTTTAGCATAATTATTTCAAAAGAAAATTCATTTATCCACATAAACAGCTGAGACCACGTCAACAACTGAGACCACGTCAACAGCTGAGCCTACGTCAACAGCTGAGCCCACATCAACCAATAAGCCCACATCAACAACAGAGATCACATCAACTAATAAACCCACATCAACCTCTCAGCTCACATCAACAACTCAGCGCACATCAACAGAAGAGCCTACATCAACAGCTGAGCACACATCAACAGCAGAGCCCACATCAACCAATAAGCCCACATCAACAACAGAGATCACATCAACTAATAAACCCACATCAACAACTCAGCGCACATCAACAACTCAGCGCACATCAACAACTCAGCGCACATCAACAGAAGAGCCTACATCAACAGCTGAGCGCACATCAACAGCAGAGCCCACATCAACAGCTGAGCCCACATCAACAGTTGAGCATACATCAACAGCAGAGCCCACATCAACAGCAGAGCCCACATCAACCTCTCAGCTCACTTCAACAACTCGGCGCACATCAACAGCAGAGCCAACATCAAAAGCTGAGCAGACATCAACAGCAGAGTCCACATCAACAGCAGAGCCCACATCAACCAATAAGCCCTCAACAACTCAACCTGCATCAACAACTGAGCGCACACCAACATATAGATCTCCCTCACAATCTGCATCAACACCTTCTAGTTCTGGTATTTCAGCTTCAACATCTGGGTCAACCATTACCTCTCCAGCTTCTTGGCCCTCTTCTTCTAGATTAAGCTATCCTACAGGTACAACAGTGTCTTCTAGCCCTGCTTCAACCATTTACAGACTAAGCACTGATGCTTCTTCACCGACATCAAGTGTACATTCAACCAGCCAGTCAAGTGGCACATCAGCCACCTCAGTGACACAGCCAGAGAGGTCAGATCAAACCTTATCCAGTACTCCAACAACTGAGACAACCGTGTCTATAGACCTCACAACACGTCCAACACGCACTAGTAAGTTAGAATCTCCTAAGATGTAGATAACTGAATCCTTTAACTTATACAAATATGATTGTTGCAATTTTATGCCAGATGTTAGTTTTGTTAGTTTCCAGTAACCATTTATGTTTAAAAAAAAGAATATTTTTTAATTTGTAACTATCATCATCATAAGTATCATTATCTGTATGGCTTTGTTTAAAATAGCTAACTTTAGTTTTTTTAATGCTCATAGAAAGAATATAAGAACTGGGATTTTTTTCACGTGAACTTGGACTTCTAGTTATTATCCCTGGTCTCTGGGTAGTGAGATCGGACGCCCGTGTGCATTGTTGTGCGCTCAAAAAATCCTTTGGCAGTTGGAAATAGGAAAGAGTAGCCTAACGGCACTGCCCGGGCACAATTTGGAGTTAAAAATCTATCCAAAGGGTTTCAGGATCCATGCCAGTGCTACAGAGCCTGTGCACTGTGCTGAGCTTCTTTGGGCTCAGACTTGAGTTAGAAGAAGAACGGAGCACTTATAGGTTACTACCTGTAGGCTATTATGGTAATCCATTGTTCAAAACCTCAAACCTCATCTGTTAAACTACCACACCTAGTGGTACAGAACATATGTTGACTACAGAAGTAGGATGCAGGTAAACGGCAAAAGCAAAGAACTCATTTCCTCACTTTGAGGCTTATTTAGTGTAAGGTGCAGTCCTGTATTGTAATAAACAAACTGACATTTAGTAGGGAATTTAGTAGCACATTGGACATTTTTACTTCCAGGAACATTGCGATGACAATTTAACTCATTGAGCACCAAAAGAATGTTGCAGGTCATGTGTAAAATAAAAATACGAGAACATATTATGTGTTGAGTGGGATTCACAGAAGACCTAATCATTCATCATATGTTGTTTGAAACTGAAAGAGTTAAGCTGAGTTGATTTAAAGAAGCAGAGCCATACTGATTTGAACACACCATCACTGTTCTGATTTATAATTATGCCAGTCACTGCACTGACATTGCTGCTTTGAATTTTGTATTTGCCACAGATTAATATTTGTGATTGAGTTTTTTTTACATATGTTTGTGCTAGATACATTTCTTTGATTTTACCATTATTTTCGTCACTTTGCTATTCAGACAGATCCTTTTTTTTTTATTTAAACGTATTTACTACAGTCAGTGCAGAAGCAACTTTCTGCAGGTTCCTGAAAATATTTTCCTTCAAGTTGTCACCAGTATAGGCTTGATTATGTTACGCTCAACAACTGCTATCATTACCAATACATACTTATTTATATTTTCTTCTTAGCTTGTTCCTGGACAAATTGGATGAGTGATCATTCTCCTGATGCAGTTGGAGACATGGAAACCATTTTACAACTCCGCCGTCACTATTCCTTCTGCAACACCTCAGATATTCTTGCTGTGAGATGCAGAGACAGTAAGACAAAAAGGACTCCAGAGGAGCTTGGTCAGTTGAATGTTCTATGTGAAATCAACCGTGGGCTCGTGTGCATCAACTCAAACCAGCTGCTTGGTCAGTGTGTTGATTATGAGGTAAGCTTCCTTTGTGATCCTTACAGTCCTGGATGTAAACTCGAAAACACACCTAGCGATCTTCTGTCAACTTCAACAAGTACAGCAGAATCAACAGCACATGATGGAACTTCTGCCTTTTCCACTGGTACAACAGAAACAACACGTGGTGGATCTTCTGTCTCTTCCACTGGTACAACAGAAACAACACATGGTGGATCATCTGTCTTTACCACTGGTACAACAGAAACAACACATGGTGGATCTTCTGTCTCTCCCACTGGTACAACAGGAACAACACGTGGTGGATCTTCTGTCTCTTCCACTAGTACAACAGGAACAACACGTGGTGGATCTTCTGTCTCTTCCACTGGTACAACAGAAACAAGAGGTGGTGGATCTTCTGTCTCTTCCACTGGTACAACAGAAACAACACGTGGTGGATCTTCTGTCTCTTCTACTGATACAACAGGAACAACACATGGTGGATCTTCTGTCTCTTCCACTGGTACAACAGAAACAACATGGGGTGGATCTTCTGTCTCTTCCACTGGTACAACAGAAACAACACATGGCAGATCATCTGTCTTTACCACTGGTACAAGAGAAACAACACATGGTGGATCATCTGTCTCTCCCACTGGTACAACAGGAACAACACGTGGTGGATCTTCTGTCTCTCCCACTAGTACAACAGGAACAACACGTGGTGGATCTTCTGTCTCTTCCACTAGTACAACAGGAACAACACGTGGTGGATCTTCTGTCTCTTCTACTGGTACAACAGGAACAACACATGGTGGATCTTCTGTCTCTACCACTGGTACAACAGAAACAACATGGGGTGGATCTTCTATCTCTTCCACTGGTACAACAGAAACAACACATGGCGGATCATCTGTCTTCACCACTGGTACAACAGAAACAACACATGGTGGATCATCTGTCTCTCCCACTGGTACAACAGGAACAACACGTGGTGGATCTTCTGTCTCTTCCACTAGTACAACAGGAACAACACGTGGTGGATCTTCTGTCTCTTCCACTGGTACAACAGAAATAACACGTGGTGGATCTTCTGTCTCTTCCACTGGTACAACAGAAACAACACGTGGTGGATCTTCTGTCTCTTCCACTGGTACAACAGAAACAACACATGGTGGCTCGTCTGTCTCTTCCACTGGTACAACAGAAACTACATGGGGTGGATCTTCTGTCTCTACCACTGGTACAACAGAAACAACATGGGGTGGATCTTCTGTCTCTACCACTGGTACAACAGAAACAACACATGGTGGATCATCCGTCTCTTCCACTGGAACAACAGAAACAACACGTGGTAGATCGTCAGCTCTTTTTACTGGTACAACTGAGACTGTAATAACTACCACTGTATCGGAGACAACAGTAATTTATAAAGGTAAATATGTGTTACAGTTCTCTATCTGTGAAAATAATAATATGATACTGTTATTGTATTGTATTTGTATAACAGTCTATAACAAATGAAAAACCTATTTAGGAAAAAAAAAATACTTATAGGGTTTTCAACAAAAACACAAATAAGTCTTTTAATTAATATACAAGAGCTGATCATTAAGTTATGGGACTGAATATTTTCTTTGTGTGAATAGATCCCACAAGTTAGTTCGTTCTTGTTTTGTCATCTCATTGCTACCAGCTTGTACCCCAGTGCCATTGTTTTCTGTATTTGTCTTGTGCGTGTTGGGTGGTGTGGGTGGTGGACTTGTTTATCATTTTGCAGGTTACAGTATAACCAGAGGGTTTGGCCGACTAACTACACTCAGAGGAAAGGCGAGACGGACCTATAACCAGATTGTGACTGGTACTGGTTGCTGAAGATAAGGAAGGAGCACCCATGGGAATGCCCCGAGTGCTGTGATGTCAATTCTTGACTTAACTAACTATCTAACTTTGCAGGTTACAGACAGCAATGGCCAGCAACTGAATGTAAAATTTGCCTAGAAAAACCACAACAGCCAAAAAATTCCTGGGTTCTGCAACATCCTGTAAAGGATACACAACTAACTTATTACATATGTTACCCAGGGAAAAAACATTAAGTCAGGGAACTCAATGATCAGCCCTTTATTTATTAGAGTTAGTGTTTTTCAGTCTGCTCATATCTATTATTTTATTTTGCAGCTTGTCAAGACCAACTGTCATGGCTTGTTCCTGACTCAAGACTCAGTGTCTCGTCATCCTTTTCCCAGTACACTGGACCTGACAGATCAAGGCTTGGCTCCCAGGCTAATCATTCATATGCTGGAGCCTGGATTCCTGTGGTAATTATTGAAACATCTCACAATTGACTATTTTCTGGGACTTGTGACCAGGTGATCCTCATCCTAATGGTGTCACTTTGTGTCACCGGGTATAAGTCGCTCATTGTACGGTCCTGGTTGGGTTGAATGACACACATACTATTTTAGTAACAGATGTTTTAGTAATTGCCTCACGTTGTTAGAAAAAAAAATTTATTTATGAAAAATGATGGGAAAAAAAATGTATTTATGAAAAATGATGGTTAGTTAAATCACATTGAAAATTACAAATTAAAGTATAAATTTTATTTGTAACAATTAATACAGCCATATTTTTTACAACTAGAAAACTATGCAATGACTTTATGAACAAAATCTGCCTGTGGATCAGCACAGAATGGTGTGTATGTAAAGAGAACCTCTTGTCTTGAAATCCTTAAAATGCTACGATGGTAATTTTTCACAGGGTGTTGATATTTTTATCATTTTCGTGAAATGCATTTTTGTTTTTCATTTTCTCACATGATTCAGATTTTGTCAGCTGTCTTAGTTCCTGTTGCCTTAGTGCTTTAGTTATCTTATTTTTTTTTAAGTATCCAGAAACCATGAGTTGTTAACCCTTTGGCTCGGTACTATGATTGTCGCAACACTTTGGCCTTAATTCCATGATAGATACCTTAAATCTGGGAGAAATGTGGCTTTTCTGCCTACCCCCAGATATAAACCTGGACCACAAGGAGTTCGTCACCCGGTCGCCGCAAAGCCAGGTTTAACCAACTACGCTAGCAAGCCGGGCAAGTTATCTTAGTGCGTTAGTTGTCTTAGTGCCTTAGTGCCTTAGTCTCTTTCAAAACATTTAGATTACACATTTTGGTTAACAAACTTATTTTCATTTTCTTCTAAAGAACCATCTATCAGTCTCTTTTTCTCATGTTTCAAATTCTTCCAAGATTCACAACCGTGTGTTAAAACAGGTTCTAGGTAACTTGCAAGAATACTTGTTCTAGCCACCAATGGCAGGATTTATTCCAAAGGATGTTCTTCATGTCTTCATTACATATATGTGTATGCATGCATATGTGTGTGTGAGGGACGAAAATGAATGTGCATACAGGTACACACACATATTCACGTGCACACTCTGCTCCCCCCATATGTGTGTATGTATGTGTGTGTTTGTGTGGGGCGGGGGGGGGGGGTAATAAATGTGTATATATACACACATACATTTATATGTGTATATATATATATATATATATATATATATATATATATATACACACACACAATTACAATTTCTTAGTGATCGCAGTATTTGACAAATTCTTTGAATTCAGATTTCAGAATTTTAAGCATAAATTTATAGTAACTTATGAATAAGAAATGAATTTTGTACTGATTATTTTTCTTGTTTTAGGATAAATGTGGAACAAGGCAGAATCATAATATCTATAAAATTAGGTGAGAGTATACAGATGAGATTGTGACAGAAGACTGCGGAGAGCAGGACATACATTTTCAACCCCTTATACTGACATGGAAAGTGAAAGTTGTCAGCAAATGAATAATTCAGCATTGCAAGAAAACAAATTCATGTTTATCTAAGAGACATATCTGACAGGTGGCATTTGCTGTAGCAGACGCTGTTTAAACAAAGTTTTATTTATTTAGCTATTCTCCATCTCTGATATTAAAGAGCAAAATAATGAGAGCCATTTTTCTCTTAGGAAAATAGCAACAATCAGTGGATTAAAGTTACATTCCCAAATCCGGTGGTAGTGACAGGCATCACTACTCAAGGACGACCCGATGCTCCAGAATGGGTGAAAACATATAAAGCTAAATACTCCCTTGATGGGATAACATTCAGACCTTTGCTTGCAGCAGATGGACAGTCAAGTGTAAGTTTTTGTTTGTGAAATATGGCTTTTCAGATACATCCATCTCGTGTTGATATCGGGGCCCCAGTTTTTATTATTATTATGTTTAAATCGAGAAAAATATACTTTAAAGGTAATCACTTTTCCAGACACAGAATGTTTTTGATATTGATGTCAAATTTTCTGGTAGCATCAGTGGTAGAAGTAACAGAGTCATGGCATGTCACCCCATAGATTTGTTTAAGGCTTCAGGGGGATTGTATTCTATTAATATCTTTTCATGTTTATTGATCACTCCCTTTTAACCCCCCTCCCTTTTTTTTTTCCTTTTCACTTTTTTGTTTATGTGGATAAATTAAAAAAAAACATTTATTAGTGACAAGTCTGAAATTATTTGTTTTAACAGCTTTTGGAGGAAATTGCCACAGATTCATTACCCATTTTAGATGTTCACAGGGCAAAAGAGTTATGCTTATTTAAAATCAGTCAACAGTTTTAAAGAAGCTTCGTCCATATTCTTTGCTACTGTTTGCATTATTATTATTATTACTGTTCTTATGGTTAGTTCCTTAGACATTGGTTTTTTTTCTCATGTCCATCTGTAGTAGTGTTCGCTGCCAATATGGCGTTTCTCAATTTTGTCTGCCCATAATATAGTCTGTGCAAAAATATTGTTTCTCGTTAACTATAGTTCCTTTTCTTGTGAATGAAGAACACTTCTAGAAAAAATATCACATTTATTTTTGCAATATTTCTTTGTAAGCGATGATTTCATTTCTTTGGCCAAGCCTGTGTTTCAACTTTTAATCCCTGTGTATAAGTTCATTAAAATTAAATATATTATATATAATAATCATTTTTAAAATTTAATTAAGTTTTATTAAAGGGGGGGGGGAGAGTATACTATTTTTACCTGATGTAAAATAATTCTAGAATAAAGTAAGCATCATGTAAATGTTTAACATAGGCTTCATTTTCCAGGTGTTTATGGGGAACTCTGACTCAGAAGCAAAACACACAGAGAAGACCAAGCCAACAGAGGTGCTTGTGGTTATGATTCAACCCGAGACATGGGAAGAGAGGATTGCTCTAAGATTTGAGTTGATAGGATGTCTGAAACAGGACATCCCAAGTCCACACACTAGACAAACTACAGAGACAACAACAGCATCTGTGCAGCCTAAATGTTTTTCAGGTAAGACATTTTATCATATAAGCTGTTAAATGGTCCTAAAAGAGAAATTCATACAACAGATGAACTTAAAATACCATGCAATCTTAAATTGCTTAGACCAGTGTTTCTCAAACTTTTCTTAGTCGTGGCGCCTTTTTTCAATTACGATGTTTCCACGGTGCCCTAACCTAAGTAAAAGTATGACTATTCATATATAAGAAATCCAAAAATATATAAAACTTGTGTATCTTTGAATATTTCGCGGCGCCCCTGTAAAGAGGTCATGCCGCTGCAGCACACAGTTTTGGAATCACTGGCTTAGACTACAACTTACATGGAGCTGCTTTACTATACACGAAAAGACCTGTAATCTATGCCAGAAATACAGTAATATAGAGCACTATTTGCTGGAGTGTAGGAAATATAAAAACCAAAGAAAAATCATTAACTACTATATGAGTTTCTGTAAATTACCTATGATGAGTGAAAACTTGTTGCACATAAATAGCCCCTGAGACCTGCATGGCAAGGTCAAGCAATTTATTGCTAGAACTAAAATCCATATACAGAAGTGCCATCTTTGAAGAAGTTGCCCCTAAAGAATCTTGTTCATTACTCCAAGAATTCAAAAGTGTTCATATTTTCAAAATTCTGTTTCACAGAGCTCTGTAAGCAGGTTGTGAACCTGCAAGAGGACATGCTCAGTGCCAGTTCATTCCGTGATGACAGTTATGCACCTGGCCATGCAAGATTAGGTGATGCCAACTGTTGGATGCCAGCTGCTACAGACATTTCTCCCTACATTCAGGTTAGCACTCAACCAAAAAAACAAATAACTGTACTTCCTCAGTAGTGCTTTAAAAAAAAATTAAAGGTTATTTTAAAGTACTTTCTGTGACATATAAGGAAATAGAGAAGCAATTAAAAAGCAGTTAGTAACATTAATTCTCTCGGTAGCATGCAACAAACATTTTTGTGTGCTGGCCTTATATAATATGTTGGCGTCTGTGGCTTAGAAAGCGATGGCGGGAGGTGTGTTAAAAACATGACTCATAATTTTTACTATTCTTTTCACTCATCTGAGTGATGATATTGCGTTGTGCCTATTTATAGCAAAGCTGGGATATTTTCACTTTTCTGTCAAAACATTGAACATTTGTTAACCGGGTTAACTTCCCAGATAGTTTCGTGGGACATGATATAGCCTTAATTGTGTGGTTTTGTCTTTGTCTCCTTACCTACAGATGTTGCCCCGGGAAGACCCACCAAGGGCAACCACGTGTAGACTGGTTTTCCCTCAAGGAAAGGCAGGAACAAATCATGGCCTTTCCCCACTATCCTAGGAGGCTTTCATAAATGCAGAGCCGACACATGACGCTCTGGTTTTGGGCTTACCCAAGGAATCCTAACTTCCTACACATGACTGCTTATCCTCATCTGTATGTTGAGCTTCCCGCTTGTCATGAGCTGCGCCTGCTGGAGATCAGCAGGGAGCAGGGCGCAGGTCTGGGACCACACATCTTGGTCTAGGGCCAAGTCTCAGAAGTTCTTTCACTTGAAGGGCTTTTTAATCGAGAGTTGTCTTTTGGTAGTATAATCAGGTTTACTCATGTTTAAAATGTGTTTGGATAGATGATTTCACCCATGCATTGGGGATAGGCTAATGAGAGCTAGACTGGACACTACATCTCTGAGGGCCACCAATTATGAGATCTCCTGCTAGCTTGGTTCAGGTAACAAAGGTGAGCCATTATCCATAGAATGCAAGAAGGACATGTCACAGGAGTCTTGCATGAGGATTTGTAAGACCAGCACAGAGCCTGATGATTTCCAAGGTGAGGTATTGAGTATCTCCTTATACACACCACAACAGCCTTAACTTTCTCTTAGGCCTGTCCCTGAAATCCCCCTACCACTGACTCATAATTCTGAAATACCCAGTTCATTTCACCCGCAGACAATTTGGCAGCAGGCCATTTTGCATTGATTTCAGAAGAGAATGCTATGGAGTATCGATCATACAGAGAGCACTGGTGAATTACTAAACAGAAAGTTGCCTAGAAAAACCATGCTAGCCCACAAATGTTGGGGTTGGTTTTCAATGGCCTGTTTGTTGTTTAATATGTTTAATTTTTAAAACCTTTCTTAGAAGCCTAATCCTAAGTAAAGATTTGAACTATCATTTGTGAGCCATCTTTATGCCTATCTCCTTATCTTATGCATTTTTCCTTTCTGCATTCCAGGTCAGTTTCATGACTTGGCAAATGGTATCTGGAATAACAACACAAGGCCATGCTGGTGCTTCACTGTTTGTGCGGACTTTCATCATTAAATACAGCACTGATGGCATTATGTGGCATTCCTACAGAGAAGCTGAGGGACAGGATAAAGTACATACTTTTGTGCTTGTTCTAAATATTCTCTACTTTAAAATATATTCATTAAATATTTATAGGAATTAGGAAAACAATTATTTATTAGAAATGAACTGTGTTATAAAGTAGTTACTGCACCTGCTTACCTATACAATTGTCTGCAGATCAGTACCCAGGACAGCTTATCTATTTCTTGACCAGTTGGGTCATTTTAGCCTCGAAAATAGATGCCCGATAATTGTGTTTCCTTCATTTATATATAATGTTCTTCTTCTGCTGCTGTGTCTTCTTCTTCTCTTTCTTCTCCTTCTTTAAGAATCCAAACTGGAAAATGAGATCTAGTTTCCTTCCTCCCTGTGTGGGTTCCGGGAACCCCATTGTGGAGAAAACAAGAAAAGACACACTGTCTCCTCAACAAGCATGTTATAGGATTCCACTAACTGGAGGCATTCTTCGAAGCTAGAGTACATCTGCCTGAGAAACAGGGAACCAGCAGTCTGCATACAGATAAGCAAGATCTGTAAACAGATCTGCACACAACACTCATGTTCGAGAACAAGGCTAAAGTCTGGAGTTGGATGAACAACCAGAACTTTCTGCCTGAACAGCCAGTGAACACAAAGAAGAAGAAATTTCCCTCTACCTTGGACAGCAGTGAAACTTCTGATTGGTTCAAGGTGCAAAAGGGGGTGAGGCAGGGGTGCATTCTCTCACCATACCAATTCAATATATACGCAGAAAATATAATGAGAAATGTCAAAAATGACCAGACTTGTGACAGTTATGATCCGCTCAAAATTGGTGGCAACCCTATTCCAGAACTCCGCTACGCAGATGACACAGGCCTCCTTTCGAACAGCATAAAGGGAATAGAAAATTTAATATTGTCCGTCCAAAAGCACAGTGAAGATCAAAATCTGTTCTTGAATTTAAAGAAAACGAAAATAATGTCCACAGATAAAACTGGCTGTCACCCAAAAATATCAATAAATGATGAAGAAATTGAAAATGTCACAAACTTTGAATATCTAGGCTCTATAATAAACAACAATGGAGACTGTTCGACAGAAATTAAAAGGAGGATGGCCATAGCAATGCAAAGATTGAACAGCCTTAAAAGTCTGTGGTTAAGCACCAGCAAGGAGATAAAAATTAGAATTTTGAGAGCATGCATCTTCCCTGTGGCTACATACAGATGTGAGTCGTGGACTATCTCTCAGTCTTTAAGAAAGAGAATAGGGGCTTTTGAGCTGAAATTCTATAGAAAGATTCTCAGAATATCCTGGACAAAGAAGATGAGAAACATTGACATCTTAAAAGATCTGAACATCAAGGAAGATTGGCGAATAAACAGCATCCTTTCTTGAAAGCTGAAATATTTTGGTCATATCAAGCACCATGACGGATTGGAAAAAATTATAGCAGAAGGCATGGTACCAGTAAGGATGGGGCAGAGGCCGACCGACACGAAGATGGGCACAGGATATAAGTGACTCCTTGAGTGTGAAAGTTCATGAGGCGGGATAACTGGCAAGAGACCGAGTTTCTTACAGGCAGACTGTGATGAGAGCGACATTCTGCAAAGGACCTGCTACATGATGATGATGACCTTGGACAGCAGGCTACAACAGAGTATTACCTGTTGTAGCAGTTATCAGTACCGTTATTAAAATGTTTACGTAGGACATTTAACTGAGTGTCTGGGATTAGTCCTGTTGGATTGGCATCCAGGATGTGACTGAGTCGCAGATATTTCACTCCTTCAGGTAACAGGCCAAAGATTAAAAACAGTCAGTCAAAAGGAAGAGTGGCAAGTAAAGGAGTTTTTCACCCCATTTTATTATGCCAAAGCTGTCCATGCCTGGTTATAGCAACTGATGAGGCAGAAACAGTTTCCAGCTGGGACGTATGTCAACAGCTTGGAGGCAGTGATAACACTACCTACAATTCTGTCTCTTTACAAAAGTAAAGAAATCACAGAGGAAAAGAATTCTTCAAGGTGGAACTACAAAAAGCATACTAGAGCCTTTTCACTTCACAGCTGGGTGACATGTTAAAGAGAGCCTTCTTTAAAGGACTGGAACCAAATGCTAAACTGAAGATCCTCAACATAACTATTTTAAATGGAGCCAAGGGTAACATAACATAATAATTTTAAACCATGCTGGTCTCCTGAACAGGATGCTGTCCATTCTAAACTCAGTACCAGGAGGAAAAAATATGGAGAAGGATTCTATAGACAAAATTTTTGTATTTAATAACTTAGCAAAAGCAAACTTCATCAAAAAGAGAAATAAACAGATACCTCGAGAAAGACACTTCACATCTGTGGAATCTCACATAAAAGTCTGAATGGAATCAAGTTTGAAAAAGCCATAGTTGTATTCCAAACAGATAAAGGAGCTGTTACAGGCAGGGTAGCAGCATATATGCTTACTACAGAACACTAGAAGGAAATTGAGATCTATCTTCCCATACAGAGAATAAAAGAAGTACAAAACCAAACCAAGGCTCTTCTGGCAGACACTAGCACAAGAGCAATCAAGACCTGCCTGTCAGAAAATTTCGCTCTCAAAAGCTGGAAGCTGAAAATGAAAAAAGTCTCAGGGGCTGATGACATTTCAGACGAATTCCTTTCTCATCTTAGGCCTGTTGCCAAGAAGTTTCTCCTCTGCATTTACAACTAGAGCTGGCAGAAAGGTATACTGCTGTCAGCCTGGAAGGTTGCCCTGATCCAGCCTTTCCTTTAAAACAGTGAAAACAAAAGAGACCCAGAAAGAGCCAGATTCAGAATTGATGGACACATTGGCAAACTGGCAAAACTAAGAGAAGGAGTTCCTTAGGGAGTGCAAAATCACCATACCTGTTCCTAGTTTACATAAATGATGTCACAACAGTCTGCCACCAGCATGTTTTTAATACCCTACATGAGGTAGGCAACGGTAGCCATTGTTACTAGGGTATGATCCTCTTCTTAATACTGGAGACCTTGAGACCATGACCAGCAGCTAATATGGGATATACATTTTTAAAATAATTATTATTGCATCATTCCTGTACCTGTTTTTGCCATTTCATCAACAGTCGGACAGATAATTTGTAATATTTGTAACTTTATTTGTAAAATTATCCATCCTGACAGATATTCTATGGCAACATTGATTCTACGACACCTGTCAGAAACTTATTTCATTATCTGATTCGTGCACGTTATCTACGAATTATTCCTGTGTCATGGAATCATGAGATTGCTATGAGATTTCAACTTCATGGCTGCTCCCAAACTTCACATAATGAATCGTATATAAGCTATTCAGGTAACACCTTTAATGGATAAGTTATCTTTAAGTGACATGAGTGAATACTTATTTTTGGCCCATGTGATGCTATTACAATGCCAAACATCTGATTTCAATATTATCATCATGTGTCATGCTGGTATGCATGTTTTACCATCTCACGCAATCACCAGAATCACAGATCAGGTCAATGTTGTTGCCTCACTCCATTCATGTGACCAAGCCATTCAAGTATTTAACCCTTTGACTTTCTATTGCTCTATTTTCCTCAATCTTGCTGTTGTCACAAAGTATTAGAGTTCATTCCTTCATTCTCATAAAATGTCAGAAAACATTGACTGTTTAAGTCTCATTTTAGCAAACCTTTGAAATGCTTGTTAAGGGGTAGTAGGTCTTCTTTTGCTACTGTTTTTTTAAACCCCAAAAGGCAGGCTCTGGAACACATCTGTATCTCATCATCATCAGGTGCCTGCAATCATGCCTCTCCACAATCCGCAATCTCCTGCAGCATGTATCAGTTCATATGCTGACCCACCTCCATGCCATGCAATAAGACTGTCAAAAATCTTCTCTCATTGTCTTCCTCTATTCCTCCTTCCACAGTAGGAATTCTTATTTAAAAAAAATTGAAATTTCACTTTTGAACCTGCTACTAATAACTGTTAAATACATAATTATGACAGAGGCAGAGATTGTTTGACACATCCTCATGCATGTTTCAGTGCCCCATTGGGGTGGCAATGAAAGAATAGACCCACTGCCCCACCCTAACAAGCGACATGTTGTAAAAGTCAACTAATTAGGGGTGTTCCACTGGAAGTCAGAGAGCATCTGTCTAAGAGTTGAGGAGCCAGCAGTCTGAATACAAAAAAGCTAGATTTGTAAAACGGATGTGCTGGCAAAACTGAAGTTCTGGGAGAAGACCAAAGTCCAGATAGGGGCGAACAACCAAGACTCTATTTATATAAGGTTTTTCATATCCTTTACAGGACGTTGCAGAACCACCCCATGGTTTTTCTAGGCAAATTTACGTCCAATAGTTTGCCATTGCTTTCTGGACGGTCAGCTTTCTTGATACCACTGTCGAAACCAACGCAAGGAGCATGGCCCGCAGCTGGGATCGAACCCGGCATCCCGGCATTACGAAGCGTTCGCATCGACTTAGCCACAGAGACGACCTTTATTTATATACAGGCTGAAATTTATCTTTATAATCTACAGCAGCCCCAAGTGCAGCTTCCCCCACTACCACTGATGATGTCACAAGTATATACAAGTCTGTTGATGCATCTGACAATGCAAGTAAGTGATTTCAAGTGAAATGGAACATAATTTTTTAGTCCAGTTTATCAGCATGCTACAGCATACATGCCAGGTGTAGCAGGTGGAAGATTTGTCAGTGGCATGAAGAATTGACATCAGTACACATGAGGCATTCCCACACGTGCTCCGTCTCCTTCCTACCTAGCCAACAATGAAAAGACAACATGTTGATAGTACCAGTTGCAACCTGATTAGAAATCTGCCGATTGTTCCCCCTTTCATCATCATGTAGCAGTTCCTTTGCAGAACATCTCTCTCATCATGGTCTGCCTGAAAGAAACTCAGTCTCTCGCCAGTTCTCCCGCCTCATGCACTTTCATACTCAAGGAGTCACTTATATCCTGTGCCCATCTTCGTGTTGGTTGGCCCCTGTCCCTCCTTCCTGGTACCATGCCTTCTGCTATTATTTTTTCCAGTCCATCGTGGCGCTTGAAATAACCAAAATATTTCAGCTCCCGAGACAGGATGCTGTTTATTAACCAATCTTCCTTGATGTTCAGATTTTTCAAGATGTAAGTATTTCTCCTCTTCTCTGTCTAAGATATTCTGAGAATCTTTCTATAGCATTTGAGCTCAAAAGCCCCTATTCTCTTTCTAAAGGATTGGGAGATAGTCCATGATTCAAATCCTTATATTTCTACAGGGAAGATGCATGCTCTTAAAATTCTAAATCACTGTAGTATTGACATGGGAGCAGCCAAAACTACAACAACGTTTAAAAACGGATTTTATCCCATATGGCTCAGTCTGTTTCTGCAGAACAGCTAGCCACCTGCCACCGCACAAAGCACAAACTCCTTAGCTCCATTGACAGCCCAAGATAAACATTCGCTTGGGAACTGAATGACACATCCATAAAATAAACCCACAACCTTAGGAGTTTGATGGGGACAGCTTGACTTATTTTCCTTGAGACTCCACAAAGGCAGGCCAGAAAATACTTTGCATAATATAATCCATCCCCCCACCCCCCTTTTCCCTGTTGTTTTTTAATTTTTTTCATTTCCATCAACATGGCCCAGATTGTCTGCCCTCACTGCCCAAGAACATTCTTTGACATATTTGGTCCTATGAACTATCTCTGCACCTATAAATCCACTCTATCACTAGCAGATAAGTTGGCTGGTTGTCAACATTTCAGATAGACAAACAAAAAATAATCAAGAAATTAGAATATAGTTGTTTTGAAGCTTGACATACCCTCAAAACAAAAGTTAAACACTTGAGAATGTGCATTGTGCATTCTGCAAAACTGAATATGGATCAGCTAAGACTGATGTAGACAAAATTCTCCTTCTTCCCTATCCTTCCCCTCTCTTTTAATAAAATGTTATCTATTTTAGTTATATAGTTATTTTTTTCTTCCATCTGCCCTAACAAAACATACATTATAATCACATTCGACACTAATGTGGTCAGATGTTAAATTCCGCACAGCACAGTGTTTGTAATTGTTGCCATTTATATTTTTCCTCTGTGTTCCTCTTTAGAAGGGCAGTTAGCAGGTTGTTCTGTGCTTTACAGACTGCAGTATCTGTGCCTCTTGGCCGAACATATACAATTTAAGCAAACCTCTAATTTGTTGCCTTTTAGGGCATGCTTGTTAAGAAGCAATCAACCTTATTATTCCCACTTTGAAACTTACACAAAGAGTGTTGTAATATTAAAGTATTGAGTGGTCTACAAAGATTAAAAATATTTGTTTAATATCTAAAAACCCTGTAATACAAAGTAAATTAGTTTACTTTAATAAATGTCCCATATAAAATACATTTTGGCACTCTGAGTCACTTTGTAAGTCTATTTCAACACAAAACTTATAACATGTTTTGGACCCCTGTAGGTATGTAGATAAGTTGTGCCCACCAGGACATCACACAAGCAATAAACACCCGGTGACACAAAGTGGCCACCATGCGGATGAGGATCACTCATGGAGAGGTCCTGGAAACCCTTTCCACCATTAGGCCAAATTTAGGGCCCCCGGCAAAGCTAGGGTGGGGTTTCAAAATAACTAAAAATTGCATCCCACATGGGGACGACAGATACACTATTGACCCCTGCTCTTCTGGTAGTTAATTAAAACTATCTTGGTGGTATTCTATGTACTCAAACACACATTTTGTACAAACTTCAACTAGCCATTTATTATTGAGTGCTTTATCCCTTATACCTTAATCTATAAAATCATTATTTTTGTTTTCCTATTTAGACTGCACAGACTGGGACCAGTGGCTTGATTTAAATCATCCCAACTTGACTCACAGAGATGAGGTTGAACCCATTGCAGATTTGATTGCACACTCCCTTTTCTGTAAAAACCCCATGGCTATAGAATGCCGCCCAGAACCCTTTGTCAGGCCACAGACCAGTGCTCCAATGATGTCATGCAACTTATGGGAAGGTTTCAAATGTTTAGTAAGTGATGGAAATGGGCCAGTTTGTAACAACTACAAAGTCAGGCTTGGATGCCTTAAGGAAACCCCGGAATGCAGTAAGTGAAATTTTTAAAGATAATTAAAGAAATTGTTAAGTATATTATTTCAGTAGTTAATTTTATTGAATGAAACTTCTCTAAATAATTATATAGTTATTTTCATGAAAGAAACTTCTCTACATAATTATAAAGTTGTTTTCATGAAATGAAACTTTGCTATATAATTATATAGTTATTTTCATGAAATGAACCTTCTCTATTTAATTCTGGAGGTATTTTCATGTAATGAAACTTCTCTACATAATTAAATAGTTATTTGCATGTAATGAGATCTCTATGTAATTCTGTTTTTCATGTAATTAAAATCTCTTTGTATAAAGGTGGCTAGTATGATGTAGACCACATTGCCTATCAAGTGGCAGTAGTATATAGGCCTAGCATTATAGGCTCAACATGCTAAAGGCATGAAATGGGTCCTTTACCTTTACTTTAATCTGTAGTTAGTTTGACAGATGATCCTCCCATCGAACTGTTCAGTTTGTAAGTGCTCAGATCTTCTCCTCAATTTGGAATACCTCAGGTATATATAATTAAACTAACTAGTGGCTCTGTCTAAAACGCACTGAGGGCTGAAGAAGCACAGTTGATACATTTCATGAACATGTTTGAATCTGAATGTTTGTTAACAAATTATGCATCATTCTGGAACTGGAACTCTTTGCTATAGATACTTTATAGAATGAATATCATTTCTTGGAAGTGAGTGTACAGTGTGGAGGCACATCTTCTTCTTCTTTGATTCGTTTGCCTGAAATAAGTTGTCCATATCAGCAATTTTGTCTCTTGTATAAATTTCACTGTTGTTTTTAGTTTGTTCAGTGGTCCAAAGAGTTTACATTCCACTGTTGTTCCTCCTGGCTAAAATGTTTGCCTTAATGTGTCAGATTTTGTGCAGTCCTGGAGTACACCTTCTGCTGTCTGGGGCACCTTTCCACAGGTGCACATGGCTGACATGTCTATCTTGAATCGTGTCTTTTGTGGAGACACAAAAAGAAAAAGATCATCACAGTCTGAAGAGAATGGTGCAACAGAGAGTGAACAGGAGATCTGGTCAACTCTCAGCACACAGAGAAAAGGCAAAATGGACAGGTAATCAGACTGATATTGGTACTATCAGAAATTGGTACTGGCTGTCAGCATCTGTGGCTTAGGCATTGCTGGGTTCGATCCCAGCTGCGGACGGGTTTGTCTTGCGTTGGTTTCGACAGAGCTGACCATTCATAAGGCAATGGCAAACTACTGAATGTAACATTTGCCTAGAAAAACCACAACAGCCACAGAATGCTGTTGGTTCTGCAATGTCCAGTTAAGGATACGCAACTAACTTTAACTGGCTACTGCAGATGGGGCAGAGGGAATATCTCGTGTCCTATGCTGTCCAGTTATTAACTATACTCAGCTGAGGGATATTCTTAGAAAAGAAGCAGCTCATTTATGGACTAAGTGTAAATGCTTTCTATTGCAGTATCCCGGCAGACTAACCCTGTCCCAGTCTGCAACCCAGATCTGGATACTAGTTTCTGTCCAGAGAGCTGCCAGCAAGGGTTCTACTGTAATGGTACCAAGTGTGTGCCGAGATCTTCATGCCCATGTAACATTAACGGTAAAGTTGTCATGGTAAGTGTGGCTACCTCATTTCTTCTTGGTGAACAGAAAATACCAAAGGCAACTTCTTTACCTGCTTAATATTGTAGTGAAAAAGACTAAAGATCCTTTAATCACTCATTGAGGTGTACCGGGGACAAGATGCTGGTCCCACGTTGTTACAAACCAACTGATTCAGCCAGCTGCAGACTCAGTTGATGATGGCACTGACATTATTCCATTTGCCCTTACTTCCCTTGATATTTCCTGGTACCCATTGAAAGTGAAAATTAATTAATTAATTTCCCATTAATATTTTTTTATGATGAAATAATATATAGTCTGAGAGTTACATTGACTGCATCATAGATTTTAATTCAGTGTTTAAATGACTCAACCATAGTTTTAAGTTCCATTTTACAACATTAATTTGTCTTTTTCTTTCTTCTTTCTTCTTCTTCTTCTTCTTTTTCTTCTTCTTCTTCTTCTTCTTCTTCTTCTTCTTCTTCTTCTTCTTCTTCTTCTTTTTCTTCTTCTTCTTCTTCTTCTTCTTCTTCTTCTTCTTCTTCTTCTTCCTACTCCTCCTCTTCTTCTTCTTCTTCTTCTACTTCTTCTTCTTCTTCTTCTTCCTACTCCTCCTCCTCTTCTTCTTCTTCTTCTTCTTTTTCTTCTTCTTCTTCTTCTTCTTTTTCTTCTTTTCTTTTTCTTCTTCCCTATTTATTCCTAAAGAATGTTTCATTTGTTGTGCTGTGGTTTACAGCAGGGCTGCAATATCTGTGTGTTTTTGCCTACATATCTAATTTCAGCTAATTCCCGATTAGTTGCGTTTTGCTGTATGCTTGTTAGGGGGCAGTAAGTCTTTTATTCCCCCCCCCTTCCCTCCCTTCAATACAGCTCCATGGGGATTTTAGCATGTTTGATAACCTACGGTAAATAATACCATCATCATTTCAGCCTCATGGTGTAGAGAGGGATGAGAAGTGTAACATCTGTCAGTGCCAGAGTGGTGAAACGATGTGCGCACCCTTGCCACAGTGCCCTTCCTGTGCAAAGGTAATATAAACCTTGTTATATAAAAACAGCTGATGACTTGTTCTTTATTTGTAGATGTTTTAACTTCTTTTCCATTTTCTTCTTTTTCTTTTTTTTTTTATTAAGCTTTTATTAAGTTTAGTTTTTTGTTTGTTTGTCTGCTACAGTTTTTGCATTATGTTCTTCTTTTAAAAAAAACGTTTACTAAGTTTTATTTTATTTATTTCTGGTACTGTTTTTGCATAAGATTTTTTTTTTTGAAAATATTTTATTTTTTTGTACACCTTAACTAAGTATATACCATACTGGAATTGATACTTTCCTAGAAACTACAATTTTTAGTTTCACTGATGTGTTTTTAGAAAATCCTTTTATCTCACATACCAATTACAATATGTCTCTAGGGTATCAGTTATCGGGACACTGACAGCTGTGAATGTCAATGTTTGACCTGTAAAACTAATGAGTACCAATGTGGGGATGGTTCATGCATTGACGAACACCAGAAGTGTGACTGCATCGTTGACTGTATTGATGATGAACTGGGATGTGGTAAGTCTTTTTTTTTTTTTTTTTATTAGCTTTCTTTTGAGTTGTATTTGTTATTCAGTAAAGTCAGATAAACAGCATTGGTACATTGGGAATATGATACTAGAAACATATTTTTATAGATGAGGTGGCACTTGGTGGGGGGATGGGGGGGGGGCATCATGCTGCGGTCTTTACTTCCCAGGAAATTACATAGTACTCATTTTAGGCTGGGTCAACCTGGAGTCAAGGTCATTTGAGGGTTGGGAAAAGGGGGGGGGGGGGGGGGTTGGGTTTACAGCTTGATGAGAATTTGAGCCCAAGACCTTCAGGTTAGCAGGTGAGCATTTAGCCACTACACTACCTGGGCTCTAATTTGACGTTTACTGGGATGTAATCATTACTGTAGAATCTGTGTTGTTTGTATGCGAAACATGGACCATAAGCAGACAAGCCGGAAAACATTTACTCATGGCATAGGTGTGGTTTCTGAGAAGAATTCAGAATGATAGAAAAACTAATGAAGCAGTCCTCATCCAGACAGAATAAAGTCATAAACTTAGAACAATAAGGCATTGACAGTTGTGTTATAATAATTAATTAATTTATTTATTGGAGAATCATTGTTTGAAGACAGAAATGCTTGATTTACTGCATATATGGCTTTTTCAGATTCCACAAAGTTTTACACGCCATCTTATACATCTGTGAAAACCTCAGAACTTGTCACAAATTCGACAGTTACATATGCAACCACATCGACACCAGGTACTTCAAGTCAGCCTACTGAAGGTAAATATTTCTCTTTAAAATTAAGCTTCATTGAAAAAGTTCATTGCAAAAACCATGATAATTAACAGTAGAAATGAGAGCCAACAACGAACAGCACATTCACTGGAATAAATTAGTTACAAGTTTTACTGAACACATGATAGCAGAAGTAATGTGGAAAGTAAAAAGTAATGCGAACCGCCAAAAATATTTCAGCAGCCTGCAAAAAAAAAAAAAATGATTGATAGCTAGAGAGATGAACAACACTTTGAAAATAAGAATTGTCAACTTTTATATATACTCAACCATGCAGAGACCTAGACAGTGAACAGATATTTAGAATCTCAAATTTCCCATGTGGTTTTCAGGGCCCTGTTGTATGGAAAACAAGAATAAACCCACACCCCCCTCCCCCTCCTCTCCCCATAGCATGTAACAGGAGTCGACTAATTGGGGGCATCCTTCGAAGTTAGAGTAGATCTACCTGAGAGGCAAGGAACCAAGAGTCTGTATAAAGATAATCCATCTCCGTGAAACTGATGTGCACACAACACTAAGGTTCTGGAACAAGACTAAAGTCCGGAGGTGGGCGAACATGAAGAACTTGCCGCTGAAGTTTACAGCCGGTGAATGCAAAAAGAAAGAAGAAGAATAAAGTCATAGAAGTCGCTTGAGATATAGACTATATAGAATATAGATTACTAGATTGTATTTCTTTCAAGAGAAACAATCAATCAGATACATAGGTTCTAAAGAGACTTAAAAAAACAACAAATCAAAGTAAAAACAACAGTAGGAAAAAGGCGAAACAAAAGACAAGAAAAATATTTGGTTAATCTAACTATTTTGATATAAAACTCACTTCATTTGCATTTTAAATCAGTATAGTCACAATTCTTTATTTGATGAAAATTAACTACCCATTTTTAATCTTTTATACATTTATTTCTTTTTGAAGTTGTGCCACAGTGTACATACAGCCATAACTTCACAGTTGATCACGGGTTACTGGTCCCACTGACAGAGCCTGAAGTGAAAGTGTATGCTGTAAGTTGCATTTTGATTCATTATTTTAGCAAATTATTTCCTAAATTTGTATATAGAATAATTGTTGCCAGAGTCCCAGGTCATAAGGTTTTTATTACAGACAGATAGCCACTGTTGATTTTTGTCTCCAGTGGACAGAGGTGAAGACACAAAGAAATCTGTACCACAAATATTGGGGGAAATAAACAGCCGGACAAATTAGCTGGGGAAAAGGGGGGGGGGGGGGGGGGGGGGGGGTGAGTGAACTGATGCATGACAAGCTCGATGTTTCAAGGCCCCTCTGGGAGCAAGTGAACAGTGTGGAAGCAGTGGACAGTGAACAGTTAATAGACTGAAACTCTACAGTCAGTGAATGAAAAGACAGACATATTACTATTACTGATACCATCAGCATTGGAATTCTTCACTGGCTGCTGAAGATGAGGATGTTGTTCTATCATGTCAATTCTTAACTCAGCTCAATACAAATATCAGAAGGAAGCAGCCATTATTTCTGGACCATGTTATAACAACAGCAGGATCATGGATAGAAGAGAAATAGTGACAAAACATTTTTATGGAAAAGGATACATTTTAAGGGGAATAATCACTCAGACTATCAATTTTTTTTTCTTTTGAGCAAGCTAATTAACCATTATACCAGACATGACAGTCAATAGTTTTATTCCTTTTCATTTAATACAGGTTGGAGAAACATGGACTGATGGCTTCTGCAAGCATTGCTCTTGCAACAATGGTTCCAATATAATGTGCACAGAACACTACTGTCCACCATGTCCTTTGGTATGTTAGAGTTATTAAGTTTTAAGATCTTGATGTACATTTCTTTGAGCCTTCTTTGTGTTTAGCAGCTTTAACTCAACAGTAAAGTTTCTCTTTTTTAAATGTTAATATCATGAATGAGTCAAGTAGAAAGCAATTGATGTCACTGGTGGCAGAGGATTTGAAGACAAAAAATGAAATATCAAAAAAAAAAAAAAAAAAAAAAAATAATTGAGTAAGGTTCTGGTTGTTACTCATTTCTGGGCTTTAGTCTTGTTTCAGAACTTGAGTTTTGCGTACATATCCATTTTTCAGATCTGGCTTATTTGTACACAAACTGTTGTCACAAAATTTGAGTGTCATGAAGCAGTTACCTAGCTTTTGTAATGAACTGTTAGAAAAAGCTTTCAGATTTGCATGTAGTTTCACTTTTCCACTATACATATTTACATTTTAATATAATTAAGTGTGAGAGTTTATTAACTCTTTCAGGACGGCATTTTTACTGGGGTTTGGACAGCATTAATTTTAAGCGGAATTTTTTTAGTGGAGCACGACAAAGCTAAAACCTTCCTGAAGAAAAAGTATGGGCTGTATCAGGACTTATAATACATCAAATTAAAGATAAATGAGTACAGAATAAATCTAAACTACTTAAATGTCAGTATAACATCGAAATGTTATTAAAATCACACAACAATCAAGGCTGTTAGACAAATATGAAAATTTCTGACATAAAAAATTGTGTGCTAACCTTATTTTTTACTGGTTCAACCACACTGCTATCCAATTCTAAGAATACACATGCCTTCTCTGTATAATTATGTATTAGCTAGTCTTTATTTGAAACAATTAATTTAAATATTTTGAATATTATAATCATTTTTGAATGACATGTCAATTTTCACAACAACCGAAAATCGGAAAAACAGCTGATCGAAACATTGATCTAATTGAAATATTTTGTGAAATTTTCATATTCTAAACTAAATTATCGCTAGTAGAAGTGTCACTTAGATATAAGTCATAATATGAAGACTGTTGTCACCATCTGGCAGGAATTCATCAACGATAGAGCAGTATGAACAGTTCTAGACCTTTCCCTTATCATTTAGTATAGAAAAAATCAAGAAAAAATTGTATCCCATCTAAATAATTTTTTTTAAATCACAAAATAATGCACCGACCATGATGAACATCGCAAATGAAAGTACACCCTGTTGTTAATTCTAATTGTTAAAAAACTTGTTCATAGAAGTTCGTTTTCACTACAAACGGAACAAAATCAGAGAGTCTCTATCATGAGCCAGTAAACTGGCTTTACGTCTTTAAGGGATAGACTTAATCGCCAGTATGCTGGCTAAACGTCCGTAAAGAGTTAATAAGTAAACAAGAAATGAGAGTTGCCAAATGTTAATTTTATGCAAACCAACTATATAGTGCAAAAACCTGGGACAGTACACAAGCACAAGAAGAATAAGTGATATTTCATGGAAACCCAGTCAGAGGGTTTGAAAAGACTGAATAAAAATACTTGTCAACAGAAATAAAGAAGTGCCAAATGAATACATTTTGGCGACATTAAAATATCTTGAATACATTTTGACCCATTAAGAGTTGTAGCACTAAAATCGTAACAAGGAGAAGTTTAAGGCAAGTGAGCAAGTAGTAGACAGTGATACAAGTCTGTGATAGTGTAAAACCATAATGAGTTGGTTGGTATACAAAAATAAGTTCAAAATGCCAAGAAACAAATGTCATTACTGCCCATTTGGGGGTCAGTGTGTAGCAATAATGGGCTGATTTTAACTTTCTGACAGGGAGAAGAAAGATCACAAACATCAGATTCTTGTTGTAGAAAATGTGTTCCATTGGGGTGTGTGCTGGATTCACATGTGTATAAGGTAAGCTGACAATGGCGTTCTTATTGCAGCATATAAATGTACATTGCAGTATGTTAAAATCAGACCTCATGTTGTTTTGTGAGCCATATGACAAAGCTTTTGCTAACAGTTATGTGAACAATCATATGCACCAGTGAGCATAATTTGGATCTTTTCTCCAGGCCTTGCCGGCATGGTGGGTAATGAACAGGCAGACAGATTGGCTAAATCTGCACCACTGGGTGGTGATTTGATATATGACAAGGCAGATGTGGTAAAGGCCCTTTGGTGACAAGCAACGGAAACAGTAGAGAAACAAGATTATTACGTCCTGGAGAGAATAAGGCACCTGGGTGTAACCAGAGGGTCTGGCTAGCTCACTACACTCAGAGGAAAGGCAAGACATACATATAATCATATTATGACAGGTACCATCAGTATTGGAACTCTGTACTGGCTGCTGAAGATGAGGACAGAGCATGCATGGGAATGCCCCGAGTGTTGTAATGTCAATTCTTGACTCAACTCAACTAACAGTCATGTTAATTAAGTTTAGTTGAGTTGAGAACTGATATCACAGCACTTGGGACATTCTCATCACAGCACTCAGGGCATTCTCATAAGTACTCGTCCTCATCTTCAGCAGCCAATGAAAAGTTCTGGTGCTGATGGTTCCAGTAACAGTTTGATTATATATCTTTCCTCTCTGCTAAAAATCCTGATGTGATTTTATTTGATTCAAGAACTGACATCACGGCACTTGGGATATTCTCATAAGTGCTCATCTTTATCTTCAGCAGCCAGTGAAAAGTTCCAGTGCTGATGGTATTAGTAGCAATCTGATTTTTTATGTGTCCTCTCTGCTAAGAATCCTAGTATGTCAAATAATAAACTGAAATGTATGTGGGTTATACTTTATCAGAGAATTGTAGAAAGAGGGACGTAGAGCAAGAGGTAGACCAAGAACATATGGAAAGATAACATCAGAGAAACTCTACAGTACCATGAAATACCTATGGTTGAAGCAGCTAGAAGAACATGAAGCAGGACCTCCACACCTGAAGCGATAAAAGAGGACGTAAAGAAGAAGAAGAAGTAGAAAGACCTCTGTGAGTCCCTGAGTTTCAGCACGCACACACAAAATGTTCTTAAGAGGAGTTAGAAAAGCTATAATATCATGTCATAGAACGGAATGGAGGAATGGACTGCAAACCATGTGTGATGTAATGGCACAAAAGGATAATGAATGAATACTATTGTCCAATAATTAATCAAGCTCACTTAGATTACATGTTAATCAGATCTTACATTTGTATTAAATTGAAAGCATTTGAATTTTATTCTTGCTGGCCATTTCAACTGTTATCTTGACAGAAAGTTTCAGTGCAGTGACAGTTTATGCAAATATTTGCAGTGGTATTATATTTTATAATGTTTTTATTTCTCTAGCTTTTTTATGTTAGTTTCCATAATTAGTCTTTAATAAACACTGTTGTGAAGTGAAAATACTGAAAGTGTGGGCTAAAGACAACAGATACAAAATAGGACAAGCTGATAAGAACTGGTTAAGCCCTAAGCTATATTAGAGAATAAAAAACAGAAAAAGAAGGACCTGTCTATCATTCAAGCTCTTAAATACTACTCAAAAGTCTGTGTGCATGATGTTTTAATAATCTGATTAGTCTTTTTTTTTTGTTTTACTGCCTTAAATGCTAAGGTATTTGGTAGCTCCCTTGTCTGTCTTTTTCTATTTGATTTCCTGTTTACTAGGTGTTAAGGGAGATGCAAGGTTCCGGTTATCTCTGTGCAGTCTGCCTTGACCACACATGATACTATTGTAGAGATTCTCTGACAGATATCCCCGTCACAGTGTGGGACATAATTTTTGGGTGGTTATTCTAAAGCCCCACACCGGCTGTCATCGAGATATAACCTACGGGTTGAACAAACGTTTTGGGAATGGTGGTACGTCATGGGGTGTAAATTGCTCATTGTGCGGTTCTGGTGGGGTTGAACTTCAGTCAGAGTCCGCAGAAAGTGCAGTTAGAAATGGTGGTGCTGGAGTGTACATCGAATTCCCAGATGGTACTAGGAATAAGTCCAGCGCACCAACCGGGAAGCACTGCCATAACTATGAAGCAGAAACTCAAGCTATCAAGACAGCAACAGAGAAACTGCTAAATACCAATCTTGGCTCACAGTATGTGGTAATGCTGACAGATGCTAAATCAGTACTTGAAGCACTCCAGTCTAGGAAACTACCAGAATTGCAAACACTGCTGACACAACTCAGCCTTCAGCGAAGAGTCGTAATGCAGTGGATACCGTCTCATTGTGGAGTGTCTGGAATTGAGAAAGCTGATCAACTGGCAGGGGAAGGTGCAACAAAAGAGCAGCCAGATGTACCAGTCACGTACCACCAAAAGAAAAGAATCATTAAATCGATCAGGAAACCACCAGTCTCAGCACAAGACGACTATTTTATTATGGACAGACCAGAACAAGTCATTATCTTCCGCCTCAGAACAGGGCACAACCGATTATGTAACCACATGTACACAAAATTCAAGATAGGTGTATCAGCCATGTGCACCTGTGGAAATGTGCCCCAGACAGCAGAGCATGTACTCCAGGACTGCACCACATTTGACACATTAAGGCAAACCTTTTAGCCAGAAAGAACAACAGTGAAACGTAAACTCTATGGACCACTGAATGAACTAACAACGACAGTGAAATTTATACAAGAGACAAAATTGCTGATATAGACATCTTATTTGAGGCGAACTAAAGATGAAGAAGAAGATTCTCTGATGTTACATTTTCGACTTGTTCTTGGTCTTCCTCGAGCTTTACATTTCTCTCCTCTCTTGGTGTACACCTTGTATGGAATGGCATCACATGGCATTCTCTGTTGGTGAGCAAACAATTGTATTTCCTGTTTCTTTACATTTCATTCAATAATAATCTCATGCTGACTCTTTTCTTGTCAATCCTGCAGTCTTTCTCCGACATCTCTTTTCAGTGGTTACTAATTGTCTTTGCTTCATCAACCATTAAATATTTATCTTTGCCCTTTAAATTAAAAAGAAACGAAGTGACAGGAAAAAATAAAAAATAAAAATCATTTCCAAATACTGCAACTTGCCAGGCTGCCAGTGTCTGTTATGTTCAGTCTACATTTACAATCATTGCAACTATAATAGTTTTCCGAATTTTATGGTTGTTATTTTTTTAAAATTTGTGAGTATCTGTGCTTTCATTTTGGCAGGCTGGTGAAATGGTTCCGTCAAGTAAGAAGTGCTATACAGCAACTTGTGAGAGAAGGAATGACACCTTTATGATTCATGAGAGACAAATCTATTGTAATACTACACTTCCATATTGTCTGCCAGGAGTTACAGTAAGTAATAGGGTTGAGAACATTGAAGAAAAAAAGATTGGATGTAAGTCAGTATATGTTCCTTGCATTTATGTTATTAATAAATGAATCAGATTTACAGATTTCAAAATCCAAGATTATAGCTGATTTGCATAAAGTTATTTGTGTATCCTTTACCATACGTTGCAAAACCAACAATAGATTTTTTTGGGAGGGGTATGTTTGTGATTTTAATATGCAGTTTTACGTTAAGTAGTTTGTTATTGCTGTCGGAAGGGTCAGTTCTCTATTCCTTTGTTCAAATCGGTGCAAAGCCATCTTCTGCTGAATCACCTAATTACTGAAGAATGTTTGCATAACCTTAGCCACAATTGCCAACTTGGTTTCCTTGGCTTTAATTATTTTATGTTAGGGACCCACAACAGCAGTGGCTACACCATGAAAAAAAAACAGTCTTAACTGTCTGAACTACATGGATGAGGGGCCGCGTTAGCGCAGTCGATAGGAGACTGGCTTTCAAATCCAGCTGCGACTCGCTACAGCCCATGGACGGTGTTCAAAACTGGGCGGTTCCCGGGGCTCACCCAGCCTCTAGAAAATGGATGCCAGAGTTAAAACTCTGGGGTAAATAGAGGAACGTCCCTGTAGTGTAGAGTTGCGTGCAGACGGCGACACAGGCGGACAGTTTGTTACAGCTGTCCATACTGGTGGCAGAGCACTTATGGTTCATAACCGTGTGCAATAACACTGGTTCACATCTCCTGACTTTACCTTTATCTTTTTTACTAGATGGATGTAGCTGGACTTCCAGTCCACTGCAGCCATGAAAACCAAATATAAATATAGTTTTTCTTTAAATTATTTTTTTTGCTAACAGATTAAAAGTATGAATGACTGTCATGTTCAGACTTATGTCTTCAGACTTATAGGACAACATTTATAACTTCCTATCCATCATAGTATACGGATTGTTTGCTGGTACATTTGCAAAGTCAAATTAACATGAAATCTGCAGTCTGTTTAATACTACTGTTGATTTTATTGTACTAAACAAAATTGTAATTACTGCCATGAAAAATACAAAATTAGTTTGAAGGAAATATTTGTATTATTAAAATAAATAAAAAGTAAGGGGCCCTTGTCACGGCAGTGACACTTTGGGTACATGCTGCAAGACACCCCCCCCCCTTTTTTTTTTTTGTTTAGTAGACAAATTGCACTAGATGGATGATGTGATCCACATCCTGCCAGCCACTTTTACTTCCCAGGACATTATGTGGTATCCATTTTAGGCTGAGTCTACCTGGAAGTCAAGATCAGTTTTTTTTTTTTTTTTGGGGGGGCCAATCGCGAACTGACGACTTTCAGGTCAGCATGCAAGGGTTTTGCCACCACTTTACCTCAGCTCCCTTCTCATGAAGTGTTCAAATATTTTGTTTGCTTTCCAGGAAACTGAAGCCTATGATAGCACAGGTTGCTGTCGCACGTGCAAAACACCACCACCACCACTGCTAACTAGTAAGTATTGCACATTTAGCTGTTGGCTTAAAAAAAAAAATTTATTCTCATATATATATATATATATATATATATATATATATATATATATATATATATATATATATATATATATATATATATATATATATATATATATATATATATATATATATATATATATATATATATATATATATATATATATATAAGAGAGGGGGAGAGAAATGTAAAGGGTTGGGGGGGGGGGGTAATTCTTATAGTAGAGTATATGTTTCAATTTCTATTAAAGCCTGCTTTTGGCTTTTAAAGTTCAATTCATATCAGAATTCCCAGGGAACATCCTGCACCACAAAGAGAACAAATGCAGACATCCTACAATACCTGACTGAGCATTGGAGAAATTTACTTATAAAACAAACTCATGTCTGAGAATCTCAGGTGCTTTAGCCTCACCAAATGTCACATTTCCTAGTATGGGTTCTGGGTTCTGGGGTCTCTATTTAGCAGGCAATAAAACAAGACCAAACCCACTGCCACTAAATTTGCATGTCATAAAAGCATGATGTATTTTGTCAAAAGCCTCAAGTGTGACAGCCTAGTTGTAAATTACAACATGTGTAAACTTTCTTTTTAAGGATGATTATAAAAGAAAAAGAAACATCACATGGTTTAAAAAAAAAAAAGTGTAATTCTAGAAGATTGAGCAGAAGATTCTAGAAGATCGCGAACAAAGGATATTTTAAAAATTCAAAGTATGAGCTATATTGAATTGTAAAACAAATTATAGTTGACTTACTTTTTTATATATTTATAAAATCGGTATGCATCTAATAAAGTTTATATATTTCATTCTCTTCCAGCAGTGAAACCACCCATTTGCAGAACTTGTTCACCTCAACTGGTTGCTGCTAACAAAAATGACACAATTGGCTACTTTACGGTTTCACTAGGCAATGTCACATGTCAAAACAAAGAGCCAATTCCAGATCTGAAGCAGTGTGGTGGCTATTGTGGTTCAAGCTTTTTGTTTGCAGAAATGCTGAAAACTTCTGATTCTGGCTGTACTTGCTGCCAGCCCAGTAGGGCAATCTCACGCTCGGTTCAGCTTCACTGCAGTGATGGGGAACTCATGACTAAATATTACATTGTTCCAGAAACTTGTTCTTGCATGCCGTGTTCCGGTGGGATTTAAATGAGAGGATCATGTCTGTGGGTAGTCTTGACACTAATTCAGTTGAACGTGTTATCTATAACCAGGGATCATGTCTGTGGGTAGTCTTGACCCTAATTCAGGTGAACGTGTTATCTATAACTGGGGATCATGCCTGTGGGTAGTCTTGACACTAATTCTGTTGAACGTGTTATCTATAACCGAGCATCATGTCTGTGGGTAGTCTTGACACTAATTCAGTTGAACGTGTTATCTATAACCGAGCATCATGTCTGTGGGTAGTCTTGACACTAATTCAGTTAAACGTGTTATCTATAACCGAGGATCATGTCTGTGGGTAGTCTTGACACTAATTCAGTTGAACATGTTATCTATAAGTGAGCATCATGTCTGTGGGTAGTCTTGACACTAATTCAGTTGAACGTGTTATCTATAACCAGGGATCATGTCTGTGGGTAGTCTTGACACTAATTCAGTTGAACGTGTTATCTATAACCAGGGATCATGTCTGTGGGTAGTCTTGACACTAATTCAGTTGAACGTGTTATCTATAACCGAGGATCATGTCTGTGGGTAGTCTTGACACTAATTCAGTTGAACGTGTTATCTCTAACCGAGGATCATGTCTGTGGGTAGTCTTGACACTAATTCAGTTGAACATGTTATCTATAAGTGAGCATCATGTCTGTGGGTAGTCTTGACACTAATTCAGTTGAATGTGTTATCTATAACCAGGGATCATGTCTGTGGGTAGTCTTGACACTAATTCAGTTGAACATGTTATCTATAAGTGAGCATCATGTCTGTGGGTAGTCTTGACACTAATTCAGTTGAACGTGTTATCTATAACCGAGGATCATGTCTGTGGGTAGTCTTGACACTAATTCAGTTGAACGTGTTATCTATAACCGAGGATCATGTCTGTGGGTAGTCTTGACACTAATTCAGTTGAACGTGTTATCTATAACCGAGGATCATGTCTGTGGGTAGTCTTGACACTAATTCAGTTGAACGTGTTATCTATAACCGAGGATCATGTCTGTGGGTAGTCTTGACACTAATTCAGTTGAACGTGTTATCTATAACCGAGGATCATGTCTGTGGGTAGTCTTGACACTAATTCAGTTGAACATGTTATCTATAACCGAGGATCATGTCTGTGGGTAGTCTTGACACTAATTCAGTTGAACATGTTATCTATAACCGAGGATCATGTCTGTGGGTAGTCTTGACACTAATTCAGTTGAACATGTTATCTATAACCGGGGATCATGTCTGTGGGTAGTCTTGACACTAATTCAGTTGAACATGTTATCTATAACCGAGGATCATGTCTGTGGGTAGTCTTGACACTAATTCAGTTGAACGTGTTATCTATAACCGAGGATCATGTCTGTGGGTAGTCTTGACACTAATTCAGTTGAACATGTTATCTATAACCGAGGATCATGTCTGTGGGTAGTCTTGACACTAATTCAGTTGAACATGTTATCTATAACCGAGGATCATGTCTGTGGGTAGTCTTGACACTAATTCAGTTGAACATGTTATCTATAACCGGGGATCATGTCTGTGGGTAGTCTTGACACTAATTCAGTTGAACATGTTATCTATAACCGGGGATCATGTCTGTGGGTAGTCTTGACACTAATTCAGTTGAATGTGTTTTCTATAACCGGGGATCATGTCTGTGGGTAGTCTTGACAATAATTCAGGTGAATGTGTTATCTATAACCGGGGATCATGTCTGTGGGTAGTCTTGACACTAATTCAGGTGAATGTGTTATCTATAACCAGGGATCATGTCTGTGGGTAGTCTTGACACTAATTCAGTTGAACATGTTATCTATAAGTGAGCATCATGTCTGTGGGTAGTCTTGACACTAATTCAGTTGAACATGTTATCTATAAGTGAGCATCATGTCTGTGGGTAGTCTTGACACTAATTCAGTTGAACGTGTTATCTATAACCGGGGATCATGTCTGTGGGTAGTCTTGACACTAATTCAGTTGAACGTGTTATCTATAACCGGGGATCATGTCTGTGGGTAGTCTTGACACTAATTCAGTTGAACATGTTATCTATAAGTGAGCATCATGTCTGTGGGTAGTCTTGACACTAATTCAGTTGAACATGTTATCTATAAGTGAGGATCATGTCTGTAGGTAGTCTTGACACTAATTCAGTTGAACATGTTATCTATAAGTGAGGATCATGTCTGTAGGTAGTCTTGACACTAATTCAGTTGAACATGTTATCTATAAGTGAGGATCATGTCTGTGGGTAGTCTTGACACTAATTCAGTTGAACATGTTATCTATAAGTGAGCATCATGTCTGTGGGTAGTCTTGACACTAATTCAGTTGAACGTGTTATCTATAACCGAGCATCATGTCTGTGGGTAGTCTTGACACTAATTCAGTTGAACATGTTATCTATAAGTGAGGATCATGTCTGTGGGTAGTCTTGACACTAATTCAGTTGAACATGTTATCTATAACCGGGGATCATGTCTGTGGGTAGTCTTGACACTAATTCAGTTGAATGTGTTTTCTATAACCGGGGATCATGTCTGTGGGTAGTCTTGACACTAATTCAGTTGAACGTGTTATCTCTAACCGAGGATCATGTCTGTGGGTAGTCTTGACACTAATTCAGTTGAACGTGTTATCTATAACCGAGGATCATGTCTGTGGGTAGTCTTGACACTAATTCAGGTGAATGTGTTATCATTAAACCGGGGATCGTGTCTGTGGGTAGTCTTGACACTAATTCAGTTGAACGTGTTATCTATAACCAGGGATTTTTTTTCTGGTGGTACACAACACTACTCATTAAAGACACACTTTATTTGTGGTAAGTGCACTAAAACTTTAAAAAAAATAGTTCTTTCACTCTGAGAATGAAATTCCAAGAAGAAAAGCCTTGTAAGATCACTAAATTAGGCACCATTTTAGTGATAGTTATGAATTCTGTATGCATTATCTTTTTATCCAGATTTGTTAAGAATGTATTAAGAATAAATATTTAAAACTGTACTCTGATTATGTTGATAATTAACAACTGTTTCATGTTAATAAGCATTTTAGGTCCTAATATTATCTACAATTAGGAATGTGTGACATTCCCATACATGCTCTGTCCCCATTTTCAGTAGCCGGCAAATAGCTCCCATGCTGACAGTGACAGCAGCAACCTGACTATCTATTACCCCGCCTACCTTTTCCCCCCATTTATTATTTCCTCTCATCTCACTCCCAAATCAGCCTTGGATGTTCTGTTCTGCAGCTTTATTCACCTGATCCCAGAAATATTTCATCATTTCTGCCTTGTTATAAAGTAGATTTCTACCCAAATGAGCAGTAGCAGCCAATCTATCAGCTTGCTTATTTTCATCTAAAGTGATGATATGAAAAGGGGTGACTTCATTCCCTCTGTTGAGCTTTCTAGTTACATTCCATGTTATATTTAGCATTTCTTGCTTATTTTCACGTACACTAACATCTTCACAGAAAATCTATGATATGCTTCCAACTTAAGTCCATTCAAACTATGCAAATCACTTTCCATGCGGAGAGAGAGAGAGAGAGAGAGGGAGAGAAAGGGGGAGGGAGAGAGGGGGGGGGGAGGGAGAGAGAGGGGGAGGTGGAAGGTGGCCCTAAACTATCATAACCCTAGTTAAACCATTACTGTGTATATTAAACTGAAAATTGGGTCACCCCAAAATGTGTTGACATGGAAATTATTACAAAGAAAAAAGCATAGTGCTGGAGGCATACTTTTAGAGATGGGCACAGTGACCAGTTTACTGTCAGTGAGAGAGAGAGAGAGGAGAGAGAGAGAGAGAGGAAAGAGAGGAGAAAGAGAGTCTGTGTTCCAAAGAAGATATAGGGATGTACTCATGTCTCAGTCCAGGCCTTGCATGTCAGCATCAACATCAAGTGCCTTGCCATTGGTTGAGCAATCATGCTTCTTTGACATTTGCAATATCATGCAGCAAGTATCAGTTTGTGTACTGATACATTTCTATGCCAACAAACAAACGGATCAAGATTTAGCAATTTCTTTCTCTATCTCTTCTTTCTGTAAAGTTTTTCCAATTATCACATATTCTAGTAATTCTTGTCTAATAAATGTATTCTTCTTCTTCTTCATCAGCTGTAAACTCTGACAGAAAGTTCTGGTTGTTTGTCAGCTTCTGGACTTGTCTTGTTCCAAAACTTTAATTTTACTTGCTCATCTGTTTTACAAATCTGGCCTATCTGTATATATGAATGACTGTTGGTTCCTTGCCTCTCATGCAGATGCTCTCTAACTATGAAGGAAACTTCTTCTTCTTTTTCACGTTCACCAGCTGTACACTCTGGTGGAAAGTTCTGGTTGCTCGTCCACTACTGAACTGCAGTTGGGCTCCAGAACTTGAGTGTTGCGTGCGCATCAGTTTTACAATCTCATTCTCTTGAATACAGACTGCTGGTTCCTTGCCTCTCTGGCAGATGCACTCTGACTTCAAAGAAAGCTCCCCAATTAGTCGGCTCTTACGACATGATTTTGGGGAGGCAGTGGGTCTATTATTGTTTTCCCCACAATGGGGCCCCGGAATCCACACGGGGGTATGAAGGAAACATTCCCTTTTGGTATATTTTTTTTAACATGTTCCTTGGGGGGTGGGGGGGGGGGCAGTCGGTGTTATTTTTTTCCCTAAGTAAAAGATTTCAAGCGGTGTCCAGCAGATGCAAAGAAGGCTAAATGGGAACATTTTATGGGTGAAATTGGAGGGGATAGAGCACTGGGTAGGTTTTGGAGACCTCATAGACATATGCAAAGGAAGAATCGGCCTATCACAACAGCCATTATATATACTGATAATGATATACCAATGACAACAAAGAGAAAGGGAAAGCATTTTTGAAGAGATTTATAGCCCAAACTGATCATAATGATAGGGAGCTTAGAATTTCAGTTAGAAATAATCTGTATAATACAATAAATGATAATTATTCTGAGGACATCATTAGGG